CACACACACGAAGCTTCCCAGGACCCCAGAAAGCACAGTCCTCTCTGTCCAGATGATAGAACAGGTTTGAGGAGGTGACATCACTTGGCACGTGGCCAAGCTGGGGCTCGAGATCACATGGGCCCGATGCCCCACGCTTGTTAAACTGCTCACGCTGGTGCAATGATTGTTTCAAATAGGTGCGTTTCCTTCCGCAGCAATTAGACAGCATCCACGTGACCATCCTGCACAAGGAGGAGGGAGCCGGCCTTGGCTTCAGCCTGGCGGGAGGAGCCGACCTGGAAAACAAGGTGATCACGGTGAGTGGCCGACGCTGGGGGTGCGTGAGAGCCCGGAGGCCATGGCCCCGGAGGGAGAACAGGGGCCAGGAAGGGCCTCACACTGGGGACCGATGGCTCCAGGCCACCGCGCGGGGTTCCCATGGGGGCTGTCAGGACCCACCCTTTCCAAGAAGCAGAGTAACGGTCACCTGTGTGACTCCACTGTCCTCGTCACCGCCCTTGATTTAACAAGGTGTGCGTGTGCCCCAGACAGCGTGGATGCGCCACGAGGGTCTGAATCACCCTAAGAGAATTGCAGGCGTCTTGGCCTCACCAGGACTGCACGACCGGAATCTCGCAAGGCTGAGGCCCTGCCTGCGTTGCTGGAGGTTCTGCTGGGGCGGGGGGGGCGGGGGACGTTTTAAAAAATCACCTCAAACCCGCTAAATGCCACTAACCAGTTCCCTTTAATGTGGCCCATCGTACGTCATGCGAATTTCAAGCCAACAGCCACAACAAGAACTTGAAGCGGATTTTATCCAACATGTCTCGTTTGGGACAAACAGACCAGTCACCTGTAACTACTAAGCATTCAGACGAGAATGGCCTGTGACCGCGGCCTCCATGGAAGGCGGCACAGCCGGGGTTGGAGGCTGACGGCCTCGCCGTGATGCCCAGCGCAGAAAACGTGATGCAGAGGGCCCTCCCCTGCACGGAAAGGATTCCCCGGTTCTGCCCGCTTGGCGAGCTGGGGTGCTGGCCTGGAGATGCGGTTGGCTGGGGCCACAGGGCCATGCTGGAAAGAGGAAGGAGCCGTTCCTGTGCAGGCTTCCCAGAGCACACCCCGGGCTGCGTCCCGAGGCTTCCGGTCTTGCGGTCCAGCCCGTTCCCTCCGCAGCTGCTGAGCCTTCAGGGAGAGGGGGAGGCAGCAGCCGGCATCCCCGGCTCCTCTGCCTGGGGCCCCGCCATCCTGCCTCACCATCGCGCTGGCCGCTGCCCTCTGCCTGCTCTTTCTGTCTGGCCCGGTGGTTTCTGGCCCCTCCCTCCTCATGCCGGGCTGTGACGCGGCCTCTCCACGTCCCCGAAGCCGAGGGCACTCCTGCCACGGCCGTGTGGACTCAGCGTGTTCTTTACATGGACGCACACGGATTTCCTCGTATGGACGAAAAGGAGCCGCAGTCCATCCCGGCCAGGATTGAACACACCACCCCTCCCGGCAGGTGACCGGGCCAATTCCTGCTGGTCATTTCAGAGTCACCCATGTGTGAGCTGTGACTTCCTTCTCTGCAAGCAGGCTCTCGACCACACAAAAAGCACCCGAAACCGCTGAGGACCTATTTCTGTCACTGAGCACACAGAGGGCTATAAAGGGCTCCGGGTTGTGCCGGTGACTTTCTATCTGAAGAGAGGAGAGAGCCGGCCCGTGGGAACAGCCCTTGGGGTCTTTGTCTGCCCTGAGGAGCGACGTCTGCCCACCCCGTCTGGCCAGCGAGCTGAGCGCGGCAGCCGCTCCCACACCGGGGGAGGCGGTGCACGCGGCCAGGCACACGCAGCAGGCCTCTGAGCACTCTGTCCCTTCCCTGGTCACTGAAAGAGAACTAACGCTGAGCACCGTCCAGGACCAAGGGCCACGCTGGGCACCCACTGGCTTGTCTAAACCCCTCTCCCCCATGCCTCAGAAGGGGGGCTTGATGCCCTTGACGCATGGCCCTTAGACGAGGGGCCTGAGACGCCCAGCCGGGCCTCTGCTTGTACTTGGGCCCCGTCCGTGGCCTGAGGATCCTCACCGCCTCTGACCACATCGCAGAAGTTTTCAGACACCAAGACGACTTAGAGAAACAGGGAGCCCGGTGATAGCCCATGCCCACTGTCACGGGCTCCTCCTAACCACACACAGCAGAATTTTCCTCTTTAGAAGAAGAGGCAAGCACACTGGATTAAAAAAAATATTTAACGTTTATTTATTTTTGAGAGAGAGACACAGTGCAAGCAGGGGAGGGGCAGAGAGAGGGAGACACAGAATCCGAAGCAGCTCCAGGCTCTGAGCTGTCAGCACAGAGCCCGACGTGGGGCTCGAACCCACCAACTGTGAGATCACGACCTGAGCCGAAGTTACACCCTCAACGGACTGAGCCACCAGGCGTCCCAGACATGAGATTTTTTGACTGCACATATTTTGCAGAAAGGGGACCCAGAGGGGTGGCCCCCTTTTAACTGGATCAGAATTTCCGGGTGGGGGGAGTTTGAAAAATGTCCAGCCCCCTCAGGTTAGCGCTTCTCAAAAAAGCATATTCTGCGGAAGCTGGAGGCCCAAGAATTTCTGCTTGAGAAAAAAGGGTTCTGTATAGAAACAGTGCTGGGGGTCACGCCTGTTCCCACGGCAGCACCACGGCCTCTCATACCTTCTCAGAGTGCAGATGTGTTTCAGAACTTCTGTTTTCTCCAGCGTTCTTAACTCTCTTAGACTTCGGAAACTTTGTTTTTTTAATGCGATGCCTACGGATGCGGCACAGAATCGGTGTTTTGGGAAAACCACTCTGGGAAATGCTGCCGGGAAGGGCCGGGTGTAACTAGGGTCGTGGGGACGCAGTCGAGGACACTGCTCGGAAGGGCTCTGAGGACCGGGCTGGCCGTGCTTGCTAGTGATGTCTGCTGAGGGTGGCCGGCGACGAGGCCCTGTGCCGGCACCCCGATTCGAGACGCAGTTATTCTTATTTTCTTTCCCCCCGAGCAGCCTGTAGGGTTGAGGAACTGGTTTGGACCTTCGTGCAGGGAGGGTCTGGATCTGACGCCGGTGACTTCCGGGCTTTGACTCCGTGTGGTTTGCCCAGGTTCACAGGGTCTTCCCCAACGGGCTGGCCTCCCAGGAGGGAACTATTCAGAAGGGCAATGAGGTTCTCTCCATCAACGGCAAGTCCCTGAAAGGGGCCACGCACAACGACGCCTTGGTCATCCTCCGCCAAGCGCGGGACCCCAAGCAAGCTGTGATCGTCACGCGGAAGCCGGCCCTGGAGGCCACGCCTGACCTGAACTCGTCCACGGATTCTACGGCCTCGGCTTCTGTGGCCAGCGATGTTTCCGTGGATTCCAGTAAGCACCCCCCACCCTGGGCTGGGGGGAGGAAGCCCCGTGGCCACATGGGGCCCGTCCTGCTGTGGGCTGCCACGTGGGCAGCGTGACGCCCAGGCGTCCGTGGCCTGGTGGAGAGGGCTTCCCTAACCCGGTCCCCATGCTCCCCCTGCAGCAGAGGCCACGGTGCACACGGTGACGCTGGAGAAGACCTCGGCGGGGCTGGGCTTCAGCCTGGAAGGCGGCAAGGGCTCCCTGCTCGGCGACAAGCCTCTCACTGTTAACAGGATTTTCAAAGGTGAGCTTGCGTCCAGCTCTCCGGCTTCCCTCCAGCCGCCAGTGGTGGGCCAGGTCCCCGAAGGCTTCTGAGCACCTTCTGGGCCATGTCGGTTCCTACAAGTCCACGCCCTCTAGGAGGTGGGCAGGCCACTTAGGGACTCGAGTCCGCCGTTCCTGCCTTCTCCACGTGGCTCGGACGTGCCCTCGCTACTTCTGTTTCCCTGGGTCCTCGTCTCCCTGGGCCTGGTTCTTGGGCGGGGTGGGGACGAGGGTGAGGCCCGTGCGGACTGCCCTGGACACGACACTGAAGGGGTCCCGAAACCCGCAGTAATTGGTGCGATGATTTTTTTAAAATTCTTTAAAAATTTTATTTATTTTTGAGAGAGACAGAGCGCGATCAGGGGAGGGGCGGAGAGAGAGGGAGACACAGAATTGGAAGCAGCTCCAGGCTCTGAGCTGTCAGCACAGAGCCCAACACAGGGCTCGAACCCACGAACCGTGAGGTCATGACTTGAGCCGAAGTCGGACGCCTAACCGACTGAGCCCCCCAGGCGCCCTCAACGCGATGTTTTTAAAAATTAAAATGAATTTCAAAAAATCCATAATGAACAAAGTATCAAAGTTTAAAATGAGGACCCGTCTGACTTCCTACTTGCACACACTTGGCCTCCCTGGGCTCCCCTAATCCTGGACCTGTCGGCTCCTGCCTTCATTAAACATTCTGGCATTTTGTTCATCACGTGTGGAGCCCGTGGGGGTCGCTCGGGTTTTCCTGTGAAAGCGTGAATGGCCTGCAGCCACCACAGAAAACCACCGAGTCTTGTGCTCCTCCGTGGAGCGCCCGAGCCACAGCGCAGCCGGGTGTGTGGGCCCCGGGCCCGAGGCCGGAGACCTGTGTTCTAGTCCCAGCTCTGCCTCCCACCTGCTGAGGCCCCCCAGGCCCGAGGCTCCTCGTCCACACGCGGGCGTGGGGTGTGTCTGGGCCTGTCAGACGGAGCCCCGCCATGGCCGCTGAGCCCCGGGGTGCACCGAGGGCCACGCCCCCCCCCCCCAAAGAATCTCTATTTACTCTAACTCTGGGAACGACGTTTTTAACTTTTGGAGGTCGACTTGGGCTGAGTGTGCAACTCAGTCAGGAGACCTGGATCCAGCGTTAGCTGTGCTTCTGAGGACGGACCCCTCCCTGCCCACGTCCCGTCTGCGCCCACGGGGCTGGGCCTGCTGGCTGCAGGGAGATGCAGCGCTGGGGCCAGAAGGCCTGGGCTCAAACCCAGGCCCGACTCGCTCCCCAGCGGCTCTGAGGCCTGGCGGGGTCCTCCTCGCGTGTGCAGCGGGGCTGCTGCCGCACTCACAGGGCGTTCACGTAGTTCCTGGTGTGCCCGACAGCCCGACGCCCTCAGCAGTTTCTCACAACTGCCATTACTGTTCCCTTCTGTCCAGTGTTTCTGAATCCCAGTGTATCGAACAGACGGTAAATCTTCTTTCAGCACGAACAACACAGTAACGCTGCTTCCGTACACGGCTTTGAGGGTGGGGGCCGCACACGATTACATCCACTTCACAGGGACCCAGGGGGCCTCTCCAGGCCGTTCGGGGACAGCGTGCTGGGAGGTTCGCCTGCCCCTCCCCACGCCACCCAATGCCAGGCGAGCTCGTCAGAAGGGAGAGACCACCCGTGAGCGGAGGCGGCGGGCTGGTGCCCCTGAGGCCTCCACAACCCACAGACGTCTCCTCAGCGGGGCTCTGGGCTCGGAGCTGCCCAGGACCACCCTCCTCTGGGGACGGCATGGGCCGCACCTTTCCCAAGGGCCACAGAGCTGGGGCCTGGCTTGTCAACCTCAAGGTCACCATCTGAGGGGATGCCCCATTGCAGAAAGAGCAGCAGACCCCTGAGGGAGGGTCCCCTGCTCCCTTCCGAGCCGTCCCGGCTCCCCCGACATCACGGGTAGGTGGTAACCCTCCTCGTTCCCCCCGTCACCCGAGCCACCGTCTTCTTCTTCTTCTTCCTCCCCCAGGGGCAGCCTCGGAGCAGAGCGAGACGGTCCAGCCGGGAGATGAAATCTTACAGTTGGCCGGCACCGCTGCGCAGGGCCTCACGCGGTTTGAGGCCTGGAACATTATCAAGACGTTGCCTGACGGCCCCGTCACCATCGTCATCAGGAGGAGAGGCCTCCAGTCCTCGGGGACCTCGGCGGCTGGGGACCCCTAGGCAGAGCCGCGGGGAGCACAGAGCGGTAGTGCGCAGCTCCTCACAGCCGCGAATTCTCAGGGTCACTGCTCGCCCCCGCCTGCAGGGGGAGGCAGAGTCGGGCTTCCAGGCGGCTGCTGCCCGGGGTCCAGACCTCCTGGTACCGTAGCCAGCCGAGCGGAGGGGCACGGTCACCCCGGCGAGGCCGGGACCACCTTCAGGCTGTGGACAGAGAGCGTGATGATCATTTCGTGGTGCTGTAAATAAAACGGACACGTTACAGTTTGATATGAAGTCCGTGTCCTGCTGTGCAGATTTCCCGCGTCCCAGAACCGCGGAGCGCCCAGCCCTGAACAGCATTTGTGCTTCCTGTGGGCCCAGCACGAGGGTGGAGAGGACAGGCCACTCTGCCCTCCTGGGCATGAGCCAGGGCAACTCAAGCGCCGGGGGCCGCAGCCCCCAAGGGTCATTGTCCCACGGGTCTGGCGGTTGGTGCCGGCTGGTGTCTGGGAACCGAGTGGTGGCCGTGAGCCCGAACCCTCACAGGTGGCCTCGCCGGGTGGCCCGGGCTTCCTCACAACATGGCGGCCGGGAGCAAGGGCCAGTGTCCCGGAGAGCGAGGCTCAGGTAGCAGTCGTGTCTTTTCTATGACCTTGCCTCGGAGCCCCAGGGGCATGTTCCGCTGTGCCTTCCGCGTGGGACCCGGCCCAGGCGCCAGGGGAGGGGGATGCTTCTGGGCTACTTTGGGGAAACACAGTCTACCGCACAAAGCATTTGCAGAACTGGTTTGGCTTGGGTTGGAGACTCGACCCTATCGAGGGTGGTGTCTGGTTGGGGGCCAGGGGAGCAGAGGGCGTGAAACTCCCGGCACGGTGGGTGTGCCCCCGGCACAGGCCGCCTTGCTACCACTTACCCACCATGCGCCAAGCACGGGGCTGGCGTTCAATGGACAGTCTTCCTAACGGCAGTAGTGTCTGCAGAGTGTGGTTTGGTGCCATGGCTTTGATGGGGACACCAGGTGACTTGGCCACGCTGGTAAATGACGAGGTCAGCAGCCGGGGGGTGTTTGGTTTGGGCCCCCGTAAGGCCTGACTGCCGAGCTCAGGACACAGAAACGTGTTAGCAGCTGCCAGCGCTCTCGGGCCGCCCGCGGCGGCGTTCCAGCCCTGCCCCAGCCCCGTGTCCGTCGCGAAGACCCCACAACAGGGAAACGAGTTATTGCCGGGCCAGGAGCACTGGGACCCTGCCGGCGGGATCTGGTGGCTTCTGCGGCGTGCACAGGAAGTGAAGACCGTTTCCTGGCACTGAGCTCCTGGAAAAACCACCGGGGCCTCACCTTCTCGCAAGTGCCTTTAGTGCCCTCACGGCCGCGGGCGCCTGCTCGCCGTCCCCTGCGCCCCGAGAGGCCGTGGGCTTAGCGTGGCCCTGTCCTGCCTGCTGCCTCGTGCGCCCCCTTCTGAATTCTGGGAAGCCCCGGATGCAGGCACGAGCTCCGAGACACCACGTGGGCCAGCTCCCTGGGCTTCTTAGAGACCCTGAAGCCCCAGCCCTGGAAGGTGTAACTCAGTCCTGCACCCGCCGCCAGGGGCCTCACTGCGTGCCCGCCCGGGGCTGGGGGACGAGGCTGAGGGACCTGGAGGCACACCCCGGCCCCCACCGTCTCGCACGGTGGCGATGTCTGTCATCGGGCAGCTGTCGGGGAAGCGGCCACGTCGGGGGAGGAGGAGGTGGCCCTCCCGCAGGGCTGGGAGGAGGGGACAGGCAGGAGCACCCTGCGGCCGCGGGCCAGGGTCACGGAGAAAGCCTCCTGCGAGGCCGGACAAGCCAAGTGAGCGAGAGGGACGGGCTGGTGTCGGGGCTGGGGCACGACCTGGGTGTCAGAAGGTTGCCCGCTCGCCCAGCTCATCAACAACCGGGCCGCTCAGGACGCCACCGCCGGTCAGCTGTCCAGCGTCCAGGCAGAGGGCATCTTCAGCCCGGGAAGCAGCAAGGTCCCAAAACAAAAGCCCCTCCATTTGCCCCTCACGGTGCTGGGATTTCCCCTCCCCGGGAGGTCTGGCCTCCCCCGCAGCCTTCGCCAGGGCTGAGGCTAGGCCCAGAACAGCCTCTGCAAACAGGGTCTCCAGCCACCCTCGGGGGCCCCAGGGTCACGGCCTCACGTCAACGCCGCACGGAAGTGAGCCTTCCGAGGGCCTCTCCCAGGCAGCCCTGGCTCTTGGTTTGGTGCAGGATTTACCCAGCCCTGCACTATTCCATCCGCACAGACCCTCGAGCGCCGGGCTGGGGCTGGCATTCATGTCGCTGTGCTGTCCCAGAGACGGGAAGTCGGCGCACAGGGATGCGAGGGGTCTGCGCAGCCGGCACCGGGCCAGATGCGTGCTTTCGGAGGACTCCTAGTCCAGTGCTCGGTTTACCCCGAGGCCAGCACTTACTTCCAAGGGGCCCTGGGGAGCACGGCTCTCTACCTCGCTGCGTGGGGCGGCCTGGGGGGGCCCGTCTGGCCAGGACACTGCCTTCCGGGGTCCCTAAGCTGGCGCGCCCACAACTGGCTGCATTTGGGGAATCAACTCAGGAGGCGCGGGCACAGAACAGTACATGGCATCTAAATAAATTCAAGAGCTGATGACGACTTCCTGGGAAGTTAGCGGGGTGATCCTGCCGGCGTGACTGTGGAATCCGAAGCCGCGTCACCGCCCGCAGAGAAGGGGGCTCTCTCACCCCTGCACGCCGAGCCTTCCCGTTTTAAAGCCTGCTCAGGCTTCAGCACATTCAGGAGACGGGCGGGCCGGGCCGACGTGGGGAAGGGAGACCCCATGCACAGCACTCTGGAAATTTCCCGCAGACACTTCCAGCTGCAGCAGCAGGGCTCTGGTCAGACAGGGGTCTTCCTCACCAGTGAGGTGGGGGGGCCGCCGGGGAGGGGTGCCGGAGAATTCCACAGGGCTGTGTGGTCCTGACCAGAGAGAGGGAGGGGGTCTCGGGGGGCTGCTGAGGCCCCTCCCAGGTGGCAAGGCCGGGCTCCCGGGTTCTGAGGACCCACGGCGGTGGGCAAGGCCCGTGCAGGCGCAGCTGGGGGGCACCTGCTCTCCCGGCCTTCGTGCTGACCCCAGCGCGGCCCGACCGGGCCTCTAGCGCAGAGGGTAAGAGAAGGCAATCGCCAAGGGAGAGAAGGCCTCCCCAGGGTTCCTCGGAGGCAGGAGCGGCTGCTCTGTCCGGAATCCCATTCGGAATCCTTCTGGAGAGTTCCTGCCCCAAGGCTGCAGAGCTGGCTTGGGATGGAGGCGAACTTCCTAGGGACACGGGAGTTAACTCAGGGGAAAGAGAGAAAACAACCCATTCAAATGGAAAATACAACAAAAGAAATATTGAATGTATTTTTCCTTAAGACTTAGCTCATTGGTGAAAAGGGTACGTCCCAAGCTGCTTTTTAGGGGCTTCTTTTTAAAGGGGACAATCTGGCGCAGGGTCACCGGGAGGGCACCGGGAGGCCCGCGGCACAGGTCGGACGGAGCCCTGGATGCTGAGGGGCAGCACGGCCTGCTTTCCAGTGTCGACGGGGGTTCCTTTTGACCAACAGGGACGGAGGTCTCTGACTGTGACTGGCACGAAGTTTGGACCGCAGCCTGGTGGCCGGCTGGAGGAGGTGTGCACAGCCAGGGGCACCGGGGCGGGTCCCCAAGCGGGCCTCTGGGGAGCTGAGCCGTCCCCGGGCGGGTTCCGAAGAGGGAACCCGGGCCGCCGAGTTCTGCGGGGAGTGACGCGGGCTCGGGGCCGGCGGGTGAGCACGTCAGTTGTACAATGTCTTCACCGCCTTCTCCAGGTTGGCGTAGAAGCCGGCCATGCTGCGGGGGAAGAAGGAGTCCACCACGCCCCGCGGCAGGAACCCACTCAGGTCGGTCTGGAAGAACGTGACCAGGCTGGTCTTGCCGGGCTCCCTGGGGAGGCCAGAGCGGAGTCACGTCCCGCGCCCGCGGCAGGGCGCCGGGGCCGCTCGCCGGGGCCGGGACACGGACGCCGGTCGTCAGGAAGCCCCCGCAGCACCGCTCCTGCCCACCGCGTCCCCTCAGACATCACAGGCCGAGGGCCGGGACGAGGAGGCCCTGTAAGACCGCGCCCGCCCCGCAGTCAGGCCTGGGGCCAGGACCCCCTCCGTCTCAAAGCTTCACGTCCTGCGGCCTCCGCCCGCGGCTCGCCAACCCCAGCCCCCTGAGCCTGGACGGCACCCCCTCCTCTGGCTGCTCCTCCCCCCGGGCTCACCTGAGCCCTACAACCCCCGCAGGGGCTCTGCCTGGAAACACGAGCAGGTACGGGACACAGCTCCGGGTGAGCACGGGGCGCGAGGGGGAGTCAGCTGCCAGGCCGGGGGGAAGAGGAGGTGCACACGGAGGCCGCGGTGAGTGCGTACGACCGCGCAACCTTACGTGTTCCAGCCGAGCCTTCCACGGTGCTGGGAAGGGCAGCCGGGGCTGGGGAGGGGGGGCGGAGTACGGGCGGTGCTGGGCCTGGGGCGTCAGTAGAGCCCCGGGGCAGCCAGGCCCGCAGGGACTGCGTGGTGAAGGCACGCTGCTCCGTCCTGGAGTCTGTCCCCGACGGAACGGTTACTCTGCGTCACAATCGCAGTGCAATGTCTTTCACGGTCAGGTGACCTTCAGTTATTATGTACACAGAACGTTCTAGTAAAAAGCTGCCCCGGGCAGGTCTGGGGGCTGGCTCACGCACGCTCTCAGGAGTGCCCGTCAGCCCCTAGCACCGCCAGCCTCTTCTGTGTTGAGGGGACACAGCCCTGTGGGGGACATGGGCCGCTCAGCCGCTCTGGGCCCCCCAGCTCTGCGCTGCCAGCCTCTGCAACCTCTCACCCGACGTAGGTCCCTGGATCTCCCTGAGCCTCCGTTTTCTCATCTGCTAAACGGGACCACGACATCTGCCCAGCCTGTCTGATGGGGCCAGAGGGAGGAGTCCACGCATTCGACAGCAAGAACAACGCCTCCCGCGGTCCTCTCCCCCGCCTGGTACTGGGGACACGGCATCAGGGACGCGTGATGTCACAGCCTACAGAGCTGTAGGCTAATTTGTGATCGCAAGTTGTAACTAACGTGCTCACTGAACAAAGGTCCACAGTTGAGCTGCCCGTAGGTCTGGGCATGTGACGGCGTGCGGGAGGCCATCCTTACCCGGGCACAGGCTCGCAGAAGCAGCCACAGGGGTGGTTAAACCCCCTCACGTACCCCGGCTGCGGGGGGCATGACGGGTGTTCCACGTTGACGGCTGGAAGACAGAGCACGAGGGTCAGGGAGCGACAGCCTCGGACAGGGCACCGCCGCCGCTCGTGCCCGCAGACCCGCATCGGGAGCCCGAGGGGCCAGCATGGGTGCCTGTGACCTGTCCCCGAGCGTCCCCTGTCCGCATCCCTTACACTCACACACATGTGCTCACACACTATGCCCACGTACGAGCCCACACACCCACACATTCACACCCACACGTGCCTGCTCACACACACACACACACGTGCATATACATTATGCACAGGTACGAGCCCACACACCCACATGCTCACACACACACGTGCATATACACTATGCCCACGTACGAGCCCACACACCCACACGTGCCATGCTCACACCCACACGTGCATATACACTATGCCCACGTACGAGCCCACACACCCACACATGCATATACACTATGCCCACGTACGAGCCCACACACCCACATGCTCACACACACATGTGCATATACACTATGCACACGTACGAGCCCACACACCCACACGTGCCATGCTCACACCCACACGTGCATATACACTATGCCCACGTACGAGCCCACACACCCACACATGCATATACACTATGCCCACGTACGAGCCCACACACCCACATGCTCACACACACATGTGCATATACACTATGCACACGTACGAGCCCACACACCCACACGTGCCATGCTCACACCCACACGTGCATATACACTATGCACACGTATTAGCCCACACACTCACACGTTCACACCCACACGTGCGTACACACACACCCACAGCCTTCCCAAGCCCGCCAGCATCTTAGAGAAAAGAACGTTTCACAGCATCAGGCTCGGCGGCAGGAGAGGCGCCCCCCTCCCCCAAGTGCGCCCACACGGGGGCCTCGGAGGAAGGGCAGTGGCTGCCGCTTCCCGGGTGAAACACGCAGTGCAGGCCCTCTGCCCCCGCTGGGAAGGAGGGGACGGTGTCACTGCCCCGCGGGGAGGCGCTCCCAGGCTGACCCGCTGCGCACGGAGGCTCCATGAAGTCACACAAAGTGGTACAGACTCACAGAAACTAGGGGAGCTGGGCAAATCGGTGACTTAGACATAAGTTACTGGGGCACCTGGGGGCTCAGTCGCTAAGCGTCCGACTTCAGCTCAGGTCATGATCTCGCAGTTGGTGGGCTCGACACCAGCTGTGCTGACAGCTCGGAGCCTGGAGCTGCTTCAGATTCAGATTCGGTGTCTCCCTCTCTCTCTGAACACCCCCCCGCCCCCCGCTGCTTGTGCTCTGCCTCTCTCTTGAATAAACATTTATTAAAGAAAAAATATATAGGGGCGCCTGGGTGGCTTAGTCGGTTGAGCGTCCGACTTTCGCTTAGGTCATGATCTCGCGGTTCGTGGGTTCGAGCCCCGCGTCGGGCTCTGTGCTGACTGCCAGCTCGGAGCCTGGAGCCTGCTTCAGAGTCTGTGACTCCCTCTCTCTCTGACCCTCCCCTGCTCACGCTGTCTCTCTCTCTCTCCTAGAAATAAATAAAAAATGAGGCGAGGTCCACGCACAAGGGACACAGGTGCGAGTCCCTGGTGGCAGCCGGGCCGGCACTCACCGTTGGAAGTGACAGTCCCATCCTCATACTTCCTGACCAGCACCAAGTCCACGAAGTCTCTGGGGGAGATGAGCTTCATGGCGGCGGACGGGGTGGTGGTTCTGCTGACACACAGCGTCTGTCAAAGCAAAGGGGAGTCGGGCTGCCGGCCGGAGGGCTCCCTGCTCCCACCCACAGCCCAGGGTCTGGGAAACGGGAGGGGCAGCACTGCCCGTGGACTGCAGGCTCTAGATCAGGGCCACTCCGAGCTATGCCTCAGTGTCCCAACAGTGACCGCTGACTGTGCGTCCCGGGGGAGCCTGGCTGGACAAAGCTCTCAGCCCCCCCCCCCGCCCCAACCTAGCTCTGAGAACTGGGTGCCATTAACCCGTTGGACAGGTGAGGAGACGGAGGAATTCACCACACAGCTCAGGTGCTGAGACGTGAGCAGCCGGGACACAGGCGAGGTGAGAGGTGCTGTTTGCAGGCCAAGCCTGCACCTGCCTTACCCTGAGATGCTGTGTCCCCGTGGCTCTCCGGCTCCCCAGGTCCAGCCATGGAGCCTCTCCCAATCCCCGCACCCCAGCGGCCCCCTCTCCCGCTCCCTAAGCCAAGGTCACCCTAACCCACCCAGGCGCTAGCCCATCTGTCCCCTCCTGGGGCGGCCCGCCCTCTCAGGCTCCCAAAGGAGAAGAACAGGTCAGACGTGGCTGGGGCGGGGCCGTCTGGGGGCCGGGGACAGAGTGTTTTGTCAGCTGTCTCCGCCCCCGGGGTTTGGGTCCTCGGGTTTGAGTCCCTGTGGGGGCCGGGACTCCTTTTCCAGATGACCAGCCTCTCTGGGCTCTTCCTGAAACCACCTGCCTGAGAGCCGCTCACCTTCACGCAAGCTCTCCCGACCCACCGGGGCGCGGCACCCCCTCCTGGATGGAATCCTATTACCTGCCTTCCCGCGCCCAAGTCCCCAGGGCGCCCAAGGGACATGCACGTCAGGATGCTGATTCCCACAGTCAGGCAAGGGACGGGCACCCGGAGTCCGAGTTTCCTGTTCTCCACTCTCCTGAGCATCTACTTTTTTTTTTAAGTGCATATTCTTTTTAAAGGCCAAAGTTTGCTGTTAGAAACAAGGCCGTTTGGCCTTTTCTGACGTCTCTTATCTGTAGTAGGAAAGGCAGAAGCGATTGTTTTTAGTAACTAGGCGGCTTCTCCTCTCAATCCCTGCTACAGAATGCATCGTTCCTGAAGGAGGGTGTGGGGAGGCGGAGATGAAGGCACACTGGTAAGAGACACGCAGGTGTGAGCGTGTGATCAATGCCACAAGTCGCGTCTCATCCATCCATCTGTCCATCCATCATCTATCTATCAACTCAGAGCTCGAGTATTGGAGATTGGTCACACTCGCGCTCACACACACGGCTCTGCAGGGGATGCTCCTTCCCTCCATTCTTGCTGCTCCACGGACGGTTAGGAGGTACGGCCGGCGGCCACTTCTCCCCTGAGCTCACCAGCAGCTGTGCAGCTACCGTCCGCTAAAGGCGCTTTCTTCCCTCTTCTTTTTAAAAAATATTTTATTGTTAACTCATCTCTACACCCAGCGTGGGGCTTGAACCTACAACCTCACGGTCAAAACTTGCACGCTGCATCGAGCGAGCCAGCGAGGCGCCCCCTCTAACTTTCTAAGGGAAAGGTCTATCTTTTCATGGACGTGTGAATTAATTCAAGAAGAAAAGAGATGTAAAATATTTTACCTTTTATGGTTATTGTCCTTCATCAACATTTGTACTATAATCATATTATTTTAATAAATTATAATCCTATCTCAATCCAGATTCATTAGATACATTAAAAATTATTTATTTATTCATTTTTTTTTTAAACAGAGCCTGACGCAGGGTTTGACCTCACAAACCGTGAGATGGTGACCTGAGCCAAAGTTGGATACTTGACCGACTGAGCCACCCAGGTGCCCCTCAATCCAACTTTTTTTTTTAATATGTAGAGCCTTGTGGTCATAGGAGATATAGGACTTTTAAAATTTTAATTTCGGGGCGCTTGGGTGGCTTAGTCGGTTAAGCGTCCAACTTTCGCTTAGGTCATGATCTCGCGGTTCGTGGGTTCGGGCCCCGCGTCGGGCTCTGTGCTGACTGCCAGCTCAGAGCCTGGAGCCTGTTTCAGTCTGTGACTCCCTCTCTCTCTGACCCTCCCCTGCTCACGCTGTCTCTTTCTCTCTCTCCTAGAAATAATAAAATTTAAAAAAAAAATAAAATTTTAATTTCAATTTATAGACATATTTATGATATAGGATGTGGTTTTTGAAGAATAAATATATTGGGATAAAATTCTGTAGCCTATATGCAATAGAAAAATGAGTTGAAGAAAAAAATAATATAAAATTTTGACTAAGGAAAATTTGTTCATGTATGATGAGGAGAATAAAGGCAACAGAAATGTAGATGAAATTACATTTCCTTATATCCTGCAGCCCACTGACAAATACTCGAGGCGGGCGGAGTAGAACATTCTTCCAGGAACTCCCTGCTTTCTTCCAGTTAATGATTTGCTAGACTGGAAAACAGCCTTAGCCTGTCAATCATAGGATCCTGTGAATCTTTAGTATAGGAAAGTCCTTCTAGAAACTTCCCCTTGTCTTTACTCCCCCCTACTTTCAAGTATATAATTAGTCTTTCCTAACAACCCCAGTGCAGCTCTTTCTGGCCATGGGGACTGTCTCTGGGCTTTAATAAACCATCTTATTGCACTTAAAACATCTTAAGAATTCTTTCTTGACCATTCGTTCCTGGCCCACATCACATCAACATATTTTTAAAATAAGGGATGGTGGGCGCCTGGGTGGCTCAGTCATTTGAGCATCTGACTTTTGCTCAGGTCATGATCTCGCGGCTCATGGGTTCGAGCCCTGTGTCAGGCTCTGTGCTGGCAGCTTGGAGCTCAGAGCCTGGAGCTGCTTTGGATTCTATATCTCTCTCTCTCCTCCTCCCCCTGTTCATACTCTGTCTCTTAAAAATAAATAAATCTTAAAAAAAATTTTAAAAAAGCATAAGCACCCAAAACCAATGCATCTGTCACTTCCAAGAAGAAAACTCCACTGATGGTCATTCTGTCATGACAGTTATTTGGCCATTAATTAATCCATAGTTTCTCAACTTGAAGCACTGTGTATCATTATTTATATGTTGTCTTCACAATTTTTTTACTATCTCTGGTAGCCCCTATGCGGTTATTCACTTAATATCTTTATCTAAGTGTGCTCACTTTTATAAACTTGGATGAATTTATTTTATTTATGTAGTTAAAATATTTTTTAATAATGCTTATTTATGAGAGAGAGAGAGAGAGAGAGAGAGAGCATGAGCGGGGGAGGGACAGAGAGAGAGTGGGACACAGAATTGAAAGCAGCTCCAGGCTCCGAGCCTTCAGCACAGAGCCCGATGTGGGGCTCGAACCCACAGACTGCAAGATCATGACCTGAGCTGAAGTCGGACGCTTAACCGACTGAGCCCACCAGGTGCCCCTGGATAAATTTATTTAAAAATGAAGCTGTTTAGCTATTTTAAGAGGGGGGTAAGTATCACTTGGCATAGAGGCCATTGCAAAATATACACACAAAGGTCCGTTAGATTGTCATTCTCATTAAGGTGCAGGCTGGCTGGCTGCTTTGTTACTAAGGAGACCAGCGAGTGTCAAATGGGTGTCACAGGCACATTAGCACCTGAGACTCTTCCCCTCTAACTATCAGAGAGTAAAAGAGAATTGCCATGTGATGATGTCACCATGTGGGATTCAATTTCAGCTTTGTCCTGATGTCTTTTGTACTGTGTGCGCCCCACCCTTCATCAGACAGGGACATCCACTGCGTGACAATGGACTGAACTGGAAGTTCCGGTCGAGGCTGAGAGCACCCGGGTCATCCTGAACGACCAGCCCACAGAAGTATGACTTGAAGATTCACAAAGCCGCCTCCGTCCACACCCAGGAGGGCGTCGTGTCTGCAGATGTCAAAATCAAACAGCTTGGCCACACCTCCCCAAGGCAACTTGCTTATTAGTTTTGTCTGGACTTTGCTTTTTTCCTTCTTAACTTCTGTAATCAAAATGAGGTGGGTTCTTCATGCTCTAAGTTCCTGATGCCTAATGTTCTTAGGACAGAACCATCTAGAATTGTGCTATTATAGTAGCTAACAGCTCCACTGGCTATTGAAACTTACATTGAGAGTAGTTGAAAAAGAAATGAAATTAACAACTCACTTCCTTGACACATTTCAAAGGCCCCGTGGCCACGTGGGGCTAGTGGCTACTGTTGAAGACGGCGTGATTACAGCATGTTATTGTATTGTGGGCTGCGCTAGCTCAGATGACACACATCTTACCAAGGGAGAGACTGGCATCCAGAGCTGCCACCTGGCATAGCCCTGCCACTGACAGAGAACCTTGACCCTCTGGCCAGGACTCTGCATTCATTATCAGGGCCGCATCAAAGGGCAGTATTTAAAACCAGAGCTGGTGGGTCAAATCCGGGCACTGACTGAGCAGCATTGGAGCCCAGATTCACACCGCGCTCTTGCATCAGCTGCTGCGTTGTCTGAGCCCCGCTTAGGGCTTCTCCGCCTCACTGGTTACACCGTCTCCCACCCGGACCCGGGCTTGAGTGCTGCGAGCCGTGGGCAGCCCGTGTTTGGTGGGTGCCAGTGGGGCACAGGGTCCTCCCCTCGCCAAGAGCCATCACGGACCACGTCCAGATGGACGGGGCCGGGCTACGGCCAGGCTAACAGCCCTCGCAAAGACTTACGTCAGTGATGCTTTCGATAATTTCGAAGCTGCTCACATTCTCATCCCACTTGTCTCTCAGGGTCCCAGCAAGTGGCTTGACGCAGCCCCACACCTTCTCTGGGGTCCCATTCACGACGCCTTCTCCCCGGTACCTGGAGCATGAGAACAAACGTGACGCGAGGCATCAACCAAACCTGTTTATCCTGGGACCACGTGTCGGGCAGAGACGCCGCATCTGTCACTGCTCTTTGAGACAGGCTTGCAGATCGGGGGCTGAGGTTTACCAGCCCGCCCCACCCCCCACCCCCCCGGGCCTGCAGAAATGGATGGCAAGCTTTCACAAGAGACAGTTTGCTGGAAATGACTGAGATAAAAACAAGCAGCTTTTCTGGACGATGCTGGCGAGTCGATTCCAGGGTGCTAGGGGAGACTGGAATTATTTTAGGAAGCAAACCCACAGAGACATCAAGAACGGCGTGGCACTTCTGACGAACGTGGACAAGGCACTTACAGGTTCCCTGGGAACTCCGTAGATGGCCTCCAGGAAACTGAGACTCCGTTCTGTCAAAAGGCACAGAATCATAGGATTTAGAGCAAGAAAGGCTCTGGGCGATCGCCTGGCCCCTTCCCCTGGTCTGGAAGTCTGGAGTCTCGGGAGGTGGGCTTCTCCAAGGCGACCCCGCTCATGTGTGTCAGGGCAGGGGTCCTGGACAAAGCTGAACGTGATGGAGCAAGGGCTCTTAACTGGCGGGCTGGAAGAGCTCTGGGGGGTTTTCGAACCTTAGAAAAATAACCATGCGTTTTGCTTCTTCAAGTAATTTCGGTCTCTTGGCTAAAAATCATGAGTTGCACAGGCAAAAAGTATTCCCATGCTACCCTCCCGGGAACGCAGGGGGGCTCATGCTACACTTGGTGTTTCTGGCCCAAATCCTAAGCACCATGTGCTAGCCAGGTGACCTTGGGCAAGTCACCCAATGAAAGGGACAGACACTTCCCTCCCGGGGTCATAGTGCACACAATAGGCCCAGGATTTTTTTTTTTTTTTTTAAAGGAAACAACCCTCAAAGGAATCTCCCCCCCAGTCCAGCTCCAGGGTCTTGGAATGCAGCGAGGAGCGGGTGAGGAGGAGCCTAGGGTCTTGGGAGACCCCGGACACGGGGAGCAAGGCCCCACGACCGACCCCTTCCTGCCCAGCTGCTCACTCACGCCTTCCCGGCAAATCTTCCATCCTGACTTGTCTCGCCGGTACTGGAGCATCTTCTCCGCCACCGCCTCGCTCACCTGCGCGGCCAGCGCCGGCTCCATCGCGCCGAGGCCCGCGCGCGGCTGCGGGGTCGCGGCCCTGCTGAGCGGCGGCGGCAGCGGCGGCCGCAGCGGCGGCCGGTGCTGGGTCTCCGAGGCCGCGGCTCGCGGGCCCGGGGCGGAGCCTCGGCCCGGCCCCGCCCCCTCGCGCCCGGGATTGGCCCAGACCCGCAGGCTGGCCCCGCCCCCGCATCTGGATTGGCCCCGGCCGGCAGACGGGCCCCGCCCCGGCGGCCGGAGACCGGCAGTGCCCGCGAGCGCCAGGCGGGGCTGGGCGGGTCCGGGTCCCGGCAGCGCGGTGTAGACCCGCCGGGTCCGCCTCCCGCCCGCCCGGCCTGGGAGCCGCCCTGCGCCGCCGAGCTCGGGGCGGCCCCGCGGAGGCCTAGGCGGCCCGGGAGGCGTGGACTGGCGTCGGGGCGCTGGGAGGCCTGCAGCCGGGCCGGCGGCCGTGAAGTTCGCCTTGGAAATGACCTTCTGGGAAGGCTGCTGCGGGGGCTCCGGGGCCCGGGGGGCGCGGGGCTGCGGCGGCCACGGGGACGTGCTGGCCTCGTAGCACGGCCGCCGGAGCCCCTGGGGACCCTGCTGCGGTCCGTTCTGGCACTTGGGGTCGGAGGGGCTGAAAGGCCTCAGTGGACGTGTCCGGGAGGCGTGCCTGCGGGGCACCCGGGCAGAGGGGCTCCGGGGGAGAGGTGAGGCCTCCCCGCGTCCAGGTGAGCGAGGGGCACACCCCCTGGTGCGAATGCAAGGGCCGCCTCTTACGTCAGCGCGAGGTTTGTCTGTGCTTTGGTTCCTGCGCTCATTGTTTAATGTAAAGGTGTGAAAAAATGGTTGTAAACCAAACGACTACTTGAAAATCCTTTTCGGAAGATGTGATGGGTGCCAGGTTGTAAGGAAGCCCTGGATGGGGACTTAGGGACTCCTCAGTTCCCAGCCCGGTTTCATCCAGTGTTGGCTGTGTGACTTTGGGCAAGTCACTTAACCTCTCTGAGCCTCCGTTTGGTCCAAGATGAAGTGGAACACGAATAAATGTCTCGGTGTGCCAGTGTGATGGGTAAAGTGACGTAACACATGGATATTCCTAGGAGCCATCAAAGAAAAGATCAATAAGGCAACCACACTTAAAAAAAACAACAACTAAGCACCAGGGAGCTTGGATGGCTCAGTCTCTTGAGCTTGGGACTGGATTTTGGCTCTGGTCATGATCCCAGGGCTTGGGATCTAGCCCTGCATCGGGCTCCGCACGGAGCATGAAGCCTGCTTAAGAATCTCTCTCTTCCTCTGTCCCCCCCACCTCACAAATAAAATAAGATAATTTTTAAAGATAGATGTTTTTAAAAAATTAAACACATCAAAAATACCACAAAAAGTTAGGTAATAGTCTGACGGAAAAATTGGAGTATGTTTAACTAAAAGTAAGTTTTTGTCATGTACAAAGTGCTCTTGCAAATTATTAGGATATTTGCAAACAACCGGACAGACAACACGAATGCATCAGATGTGAACAGGTACTCTGTGGAACAATTAACGGACCATGAAAATGCGTAGGACCCTCATAGTTAAGGACTCGGTCAGTAAAACAAGGGTGCGCTTTCACACCTATCAGACGGGCAGGTAAAGAGGTTTGTTAGTGGGGCGCCTGGCTGGCGTAGTCGGTTAAGCGTCCGACTTTCGCTTAGGTCATGATCTCGTGGTTCGTGGGTTCGAGCCCCGCGTCGGGCTCTGTGCTGACTGCCAGCTTAGAGCCTGGAGCCTATTTCAGAGTCTGTGTCTCCCTCTCTCTCTGACCCTCCCCTGCTCACGCTGTCTCTCTCTCTCTCTCCTAGAAATAAATAAAACATTAAAAAATTTAAAAAAATGGCTGAAGATATGAACATTTTTTTTAAAGAATGTATACATTGCAAAGAATACATATGGACAAAGANCGTGGTTCGTGGGTTCGAGCCCCGCGTCGGGCTCTGTGCTGACTGCCAGCTCAGAGCCTGGAGCCTGTTTCGGAGTCTATGACTCCCTCTCTCTCTGACCCTCCCCTGCTCACGCTCTCTCTCTCTCTCTCCTAGAAATAAATAAAACATTAAAAAAATTAAAAAAAAAAAGAGGTCTGTTAGTTCCTGGGTTGGAGGGTGAAAGAAGAAACCATTTTTTTCTTTTTATTACACTGGGGGCAGGAGTCTAAATTTATGTAACCTTCTGGGAGGAAAACAACCTATCAAAACGTTAGTTTACGTGTGTTTTGACCCAGTAACTCGTGCACAAAGCAGAAGATTGATCATGCAACTGGACACAAGTCTGTTTGTCACAAATCTGTTTGTCGATAGAGTAAATAAATAAAAAGTATAAAAGAGTAAATACAAGGTATTCGTTTAGTGGACTGTTATGCAGCCATTAAAACAGGGAGGCACAGGGGGCGGGAAGCAGGGCCCGAACAGGAGATCCTCTCTGGAGCTCAGGGCAGCTGTCTGGAAATAGTTGATAGGAAGTTCTAACTGAGGGCAATTTATTCTCTACAAAAGGAATCAATGGTATTGAAAACTCATTTCAAACATTGGCTTAATATTATTTAAATTCTCAACTCTCCCCTATAAAAAGTTTTATATGTGTACTGACAGGGAAAGTATATAATAAATACCTAAGAAGAAGAGTATTGTGGGTAGGAGAGTCAGTGCTCAGCTCAGATTGCCTGGATTCGGATCCCGGCATCGCCACTTAACTAGCTGTGACCCCGGCACGTGCCTGGCCCCTGCAGACCTTAGCATCCTCATTTGGAAAATGAGAAAAATAATAACACTAACTCCTAGGGTTGACGCATGGGCCAAAGGTTTGAACAGATGGGTAACAATTGGAATGGTGCCTGGCATACAATGAAGGTTCGTACGGAATACATCGTATATATCTTGAGTGAGAAAGAACTGGAGATGTGTGTGTATATTTATACATCCATGTGTTTATTTTTAATATATATATTTTTTAATTTCTGAGAGAGAGAGAGACAACGTGAGCAGGGGAGGGTCAGAGAGAGAGACACACACAGAATCTGAAGCAGCTCCAGGTTCTGAGCTGTCAGCACAGAGCCCGACGTGGGGCTCGAACCCATGAACTGTGAGATCATGACCTGAGCCGAAGTCGTAGGCTTAACTGACTGAGCCCCCCAGGCGCCCCAAAGTGACTTTCATTAGACATTAAACACTTAGGAGATTTTTATTCTTATCTAAATGTAGCACAGGATGGAAAAAAATTTTTAGCACTGTAAAAGCTTTTAATGTTTGCTCCCAGAAAACGGGAAGCCCCGGGTAGATGGAATATTGAGGAACAAAGTATTGATCCCCAAGGCCTGTGACACTCTGGCAGCTGGAGACTGGCAGGAGCAGGCAGCCTGGGGCAGACCTCTGGGTCCGTGCTGCCCGGGGAGGCCGTGGGGGCTGGGCTCGCAGGGGAGGGAGGCCCGCCCACGAGACCAGCTCCTCAGTGGGACCGGTGGCCGCCGTTCAGAGCCGATGACCAGAGCCCCATCCACGAGGTCCTCGGGCCTCTGAGTGACCCAGCTGTCAGGGCCGTCCGTGCTGGGGACCTGGCTGAACTGTAAATCGGTGTAGATGGTGCAGGGAGCCCAGCGGCCTCCACCCCAAACCAGCTCCAGACCACGGTGTGGGGGTGTCGGGTGGGGGTGGGCCCACGTGTGCACACGCTCCATCCCTCACAGCCCCTGGGTGGGGTATTTGCTTTCTTCCTGGACAGCGACGAGGAACTGTGCGTGTATTTATGACGCTCAGTCGGGCAGGTGTTGTCCACGCAGGCGAGTCTACACCTGGAAGCGCGGGCGTGTTTGTTCTTAGCCACAGCCCATTGCTCTCAGCGTGTGCTACCCACCAGCCACGGTCCAGAGCACCTGCTCTGTGTTGCGCCTTTGAACCCTTACAGCGTCATGAGATGCAGACGACCAGCCGGTTGTGCAGGCTGAGAACGAGAGAATCACCTCAGGTATCCATGGCCCCGAAGACAGTAAGGGGCAGAGCTGTGGCGCATGCCCAGTTTCTGTTTACTTAACGTGCTTTACTGCCTCCTGCTTCCTGTGAGGGTAACACTCTTTGCAATAGGCAAAACCACAGCAATGTAAAGAGGACGGAAACACACACACACCAACACACACACAGAGTAGCTGGAGAACAGGAATGGCACCTCAGATTACACACGTTAGTCTTTTTTTTTTTTTTTTTTTTATTTCTAGGAGAGAGAGAGAGACAGCACGAGCAGAGGAGGGTCAGAGAGAGAGGGAGTCACAGACTGAAACAGGCTCCAGGCTCTGAGCTGGCAGTCAGCCCAGAGCCCGACGCGGGGCTCGAACCCACGAACCGCGAGATCATGACCCGAGCGAAAGTCGGACGCTTAACCGACTAAGCCACCCAGGCGCCCCACACACGTTAGTCTTTTAAAGGTGCACAGAACCGTTCCCTAGATATTCTGGCCTTCGTGAGTTCTGAAACATGAGCAGTGACCGAGGGAGGTATCATTAAGGGACGACGACATTTACCAGACTATTCCTATCAAGAGGGATTTGCTCTCCATATTTAATGGAAACAGTTGTTATGATTTCTGAGACCTGAGGGGAGTCTGTTACATAGGCATGTTTGGGAGAGATTTTTAGTAATAGTGTGGACCATGTCCTCAGTGACAGTTTGACAGAAGGGCGGGTGTGAATCACCCCCACGGCCCGCAAGGACCATCACCAAAAGCCAAAGCAGTGTGTGAAGAGTCAGCTACGAGAAGGTGTTTTGATAGCGCAGCCTGGAACTTTCTGCTGCCTGCAGCTTAGGCAAGGGCCTCAGCTGGTGGCCTCTGCCAACAGAAAACCAAGCAAACGTGGACAGGCCATCTGTGCGCATATGAGAAAATGCGAGTGGCCAGTCGACACCGGGCTAGAGGCTAACAACCAGGGAAATGCAGATTAATTAAAATAACTTGGAATTTGGGGTGCCCGATTGGCTGAGTCAGTTCAGCATCCGTCTCCGGCTCAGGTCATGATCTCATGGTTTGTGAGTTCAAGTCCCAATCGGGCTCTGAGCCGACAGCTCGGAGCCTGGAGCCTGCTTTGGATTCTGTCTCCCTCTCTCTCTGCCCTTCCCCTGCTCACTTGAGCTCTCTCTGTCTCTTAAAAATAAATAAACATTAGGGGCGCCTGGGTGGCTTAGTCGGTTAAGCGTCCGACTTTCGCTTTGGTCATGTTCTCGCGGTTCGTGGGTTCGAGCCCCGCGTCGGGCTCTGTGCTGACTGCCAGCTCAGAGCCTGGAGTCTGTTTCAGGGTCTGTGTCTCCCTCTCTCTCTGACCCTCACCTGCTCACGCTGTCTCTCTCTCTCTCTCTCCTAGAAATAAATTTAAAAAAAAATTAAAAATTAAAAAATAAATAAATAAACATTAAATATTTTTAAATTTAACTTGGATTTTTTTTCAGCAGGTTGGCAAAAATTACATACTGTGGTGATGATACCAAGTTCTGGTGAGGCAGTAACTAAAAGGGCCCTCATCATGTGCAGAGGGAACTGGCGTGAAGGGCTGGGCACATGGAGATTCACCGAAGAGCCGCCGGGTAAACTGAACACGCATCTGTCCTGTGCGCCAGGGACCGGCCCCCTCAACCTGCTTCCAGAGGACCCACCTCAGCACATGCGCAGCTGACGTGTGTAAGAGGTGTTGGCTGCAACATGAATTTTAGCTGACGTGGGAATGATGTCAATGTCCATCAAAGGGAAATGGATAGGTATTGAGTTTATTCATATGATGAAACACTATACAGCACTTATAAGTGAACTTGATCTATATATTTTATCGATCGGCCTCAAACCCTTAAAGATGTACAAGGATACATGCAGTATGATAGTATTTGCTTAAGTAACATGTGCTTGCGTATGTTTGTGGATGCTTATGCACACATATTTACATGCACACACAACGTATGTAACTATAAACAACTATGGACAGATGCCACATTCTTGACATCGTGAAGGGTGCGGACCTACGTGTGGGAATTACCATGCACTTTTATTATTTCTGTAATAATTCTTTACTGCGAGTAACACTGTGATCACTGTGATCGATGGAAATAAAGTAAAATTGTAGCTGTTGTTGACCCAGCGGGAATGGGGGTGCTCACCACACCAGGCTCTGTGTGAATCTGCTTCTTACCCTGAGCGCAGGCGCCCAGGGAGGCTACAGTTGCACTCAGAAAGGTGATCCGGGTAAACAGCCGTGGGCGTGTGTTGGCAACATTCTTCTTTCCTAGGAATGTTTGGAGCTCGCCTGCCCCCACCCTCACGTACAGCCGCTCCCACAGGCGCCTGGAGGCAGGCCCCACCTTTCCAAAGTGTGTCAGCACCTCACGGAGCCCTAAGCCTCAGCCCCAGACCGGGACCCTGGAAAGGAGACCCTCACCCAGCTTGGTGGGCACATGCTCTCATGATGTGGAACTGTTCTACCTGAGCGACGGCACCCCCTGGGCCTATCGTGGTTTTGACGTACATTGAAAATCTGTTCACACCTTGTCATGAACTTGGGGCGGAGTGTTCATCTGTGTCTACCTGTAGAGTGGCGTTATTTACATGGAACTTTTCTTTACGGTAGAATTGGCAGTGGGTCGTGGACAGGAATCCAATTGCCCTGTCGTTTGTGATTCGTTCATCAGTACAGTTCGTTCGTTAGTGCATCCAGCCGTTGGGACTGAGCCAGTGCTGGAAAGTGTCGGCCCAGGATTCCCGCTTCCTGCCGTACGTCCCCCCGTGAGCTGCTGACACTTTCAAATAGGATGAGATTTCACTGCCACGATCAGGTTCTGTTATATGGTAAAGACGAACTGATTTTGAAGACGTAATGGAGGTCTCCGACCAATTAACTTCGAAGTGATGAAAAGGGAGATTGTTCTGGGTGGGCCTGACCTGATCAGGTGGGCTCTTTGACGAGAGCGTCTAGGACTTCCCTGGAGAAGGAGATTCAGAGCTGTAGGGGTCTCCTCTTGCTGCTTGGTGATGCGGACGGCCGTGTTGTGCAGAGGCCACGCTGCAGGGACGTGTGTCCAGCCTCTGGGGCAGAGGGCCGCCCACAGCCTCCAGCAGGTGAATTCTGCCAACAACCATGTGAGCCGCCCCGAAGGGACCCCCCAGCCTCTATGAGATGCCTGGCGGACCCCTGACGGAGACCCTGAACAGTGCACCCAGCTGTGTCTGGCTCGACCCCCAGACACTATAGGATGATAACTGTGTGCCGCTTCAAGCCACCAAGTGTCACACAGCAATGGAAAATGAGGACAATCCCTATTATGTGTCGGTTCCTGGGGAGGGGGGGGAGGGCGCGGAAGTGAACAAACACCTCTTTGTTCCACAGGCTGGTGGAGGAGACAGTGAAGTTGAAAGACACAATCTGGAGTGGCAGGAGGGGTCGTGGAAGCAGGAATGGGGCGGCCTTCGGCTGGCCGAGGCGGACGGGACCCACACGGCTGCAGAGCCCCGCGCGGTGCCCGTGAATGGGGCGTCAGCCCCCACAGGTGCAGATCGTGGGACGTGGGGACAGACACCTCCCTTCCCCTGGGCGCACCAGCTGGCTGGCCTCCACTGGCATTTTCTGCGTCTGTGAATTCCTCTTCCACCTGCAACCTGGAGGGAGGCTGTCGCCAGTAGCAGGAAATGCGGTCGACAAACACGGAGAGCCGGGAGCTGAAAACACAGAATCCTGGAGAGGTTTGACACCCGGGTCCAGCGAGGCCTGAAGCCGGCTTGATTCCCATCCTTCCCAGTTAAAGGCACCACCAAACTCGGGGATTCTGTTACTTCCTCTCCTAGAGTCCTAGTTCATACAGATGTGCACGCAGCCCGGTAAGCAGGATAAGCTGCCATTCCTAACCTGATGCTTCACGGGAGCTGAGTAAGCACCGCGAAGCCTCGGTCCTGGGTGCTCATCCGGGAGCACGGAGATCCGTGTGCTGGATCAGACAGGGCGGGCGTCAGGGTACAAACAGTCGCACCCGTGATTGAGGACAACACAGAAATCTCAGAGGGGCTCTGCAGTCTCAATGAGCCGTCTGGCTTTGCCCGTGACCGGCGGGTGCCGTGACCGGGGGGAGGGGATGGAAGCTTTTGAAATGACAGCCTGACGTCCCAGAGGTGCTGGCCACAGACAGACCCGTGGACACAGCCCACTGGCATGCGGCTGATGGAGGAACGGGATGTGTAGCCGGTCTTGGGGCTGTGTGTGAGTCTCCTTCCGGGGAGGGGGGGCCCTTTGCCGTCAGACGGCCCTGCGCGGTCCTCCAGCTGGGCTCTGGAGGAGCAGGCAAAGCCCCTAGACGTTGGAACAAATCAGGTCATTCAGATCCACCATCAGCTCCTGCCTGGATGTGGTCTTCCTCCTGCCCAGCTGACGCGCTGGCCTTGGGGACCTGCCCTTGCCGTAGGGGACCGGGAAGTGCCGCTCACGGCTGCTGAGCTGCTGGTCACTGCTGGACGCCGCCGACACCGAATCTGATTCCGTGAGCGACAGCTCTGACTCGGGCTTGCCTCTGAGGTTTGGGGGACGCTGTGGGTACAGGGGGCTCTGGGAGTGTGGTTTCTTGTGCACGGACAGCGGCCTGTCGAGTGGAGCCTCGAGGCCGTCACTCCAGGACCCGTGCGGCCCCCTTCCCTGGTGCTCGGGGCCCGGTGTCTGCCTCCGGGGCCGTTGGCCAACATAGAAGCGAGGAGCCCCTCGGAGGCCCGTCAGGGAGTGCGGGCGGAACGCACCTGCCATCAGCTCTCTCTTCTGGGCCTCCTCCTCTTCCTCACTCAGCTCTGGAGAGTCGCCCTGCGGGGGGGCCCTGGGCACAGCCTGTCGCGTGCCCCTGGGACACACCTCCACCGCGTCCCCTAGAGCCTCCATCCGGAAACGCCTTTCCGGCCAGAAAGCTGGATGGGAAGTTTTGGGAGGGTCTCGTTCATTAATGACATAGTATCTGGGGGCGCGGGGCCTGTGGCTGTACATCACCGAGGCCGAGAGGCCCCGCACGTCGAGAGGAGGGTTGATCCGCTGAACGTCTCTTCGGAAAAGGGGTTCTGAGCGAGCGTCTTCAATGTGCTTCGTCAGCGTCCCGGGCGAGCGGGGGCTGCTCCTGCACCGGTCACCTGCGCTCACACGCGGGCGCCTGGAAGACAGAGGGGCTGAGCTCCGGTACCCGCGGTGCCCGCCGAGCCCCAGGCCTCCTGAGAACCGCGAGCAAGGGCGGCCGTGCTCTTGGCCTTTTCCCCGACCCATGTTCCAGAGTGTTAGCGGGTCTCTGCGGCCGTGCCCAGGAATTCTAGAACCCTTACCGTAATGTCGTGCTCAGCGCGCCTCCGTGGAGGGGGCAGGGCAAAGGGTTGTGTTGTGCTCCTATACCTCACTATGAGCCCCGTTTGGCCCAGGAGCACACAGTGGGACTAATATCGGCGGAGCGCACGTTAGGGACATTCCTCCACACCGTCCCTGCCGCGCGCTGTCCAGCCGCTTGGGAGCCCCCCACCCCCCAAAGGTTCGGAATCCCTCCTTGCCAAGGCCCCATCCATCCGCTCTCGAATAGCAAGGTTCCAAATCCTCTGTTAACTTGGTCATTGTCTTTAAGAAAAAAAGCCCAACCCCAACCCCCACATTTTATCTAAATTGCTTTCACTGTTGCTAAGCTCGACTTGAAATCACATGCTCCGGGAGTCGGGGTCAGCGCGCTTCCGGAGTCCAGCCTCTGCTGCCCTGCGTGTAAGCAAGGCTCAAACAACGGACCCAGGGCATGCAGAGCGACCTTGCCCTTAACCTGGCCAGCCTGGAACTAAAATATAAAAGACCTTGCCAATACTGTGGCCGGCGTGGAGTTCAAAAAGAAAAGAACCAACAATTATTAAGGGCATTTCTCCCCCTGGGTGGGCGGGGGCGTTTGCCTACGGGCCATCTGGGGAAGGTGTGGGGAAGGAGTCTGTCCCGTTTGGCTCACTTTGTCCTTCTATTTCCTCTCAGCACGAGGGCCCCGCGGCCGGCTGGTGGGACTGGGATCCGATGGCCCCGGCCTCCTGGAGCTGCTGAGGCCCTCAGACCCCTGAGCGTGCTTCACCCGCACTTTACGGCCCTGGCCACCCCTGGCAGGTGGCACGGTCGGGTCGGGGAGGCAGGTTTCCGCCCGGCCGGCAGGTAAGCTTACCTGTTCGTGTCCTGCTCTGGCCTGGGTTTGGACGTGCCGGGCGGGGATGGGCAGGGGCTGCCGGGGCCTGGCCGGGGACTCGGGGACGTGCATTGGGCCGCGGCCTCTGCCCTGGCACGCTTGCTGCTGCAAGAGTCCAAACCGACCACGGCGCCGTTGCTCGGGGGTGTGCCCACAGGAGCCGAGGACAGCTGGCCGCCGAGGTCGCCGTCCTTCGGAAGCCTCTTGGTGCTTTCGTCCTGGCTTTGGCTTCGGGCTGCAGGAAGAGAGGGGGTACGTGAGAAGGCAGGGGTGACCTGCTCAGGCTCGTTTAGCTGTCAGACGTCATGACTTCCAGCTGCTGGGGGTGCCGACAATTGAATGCTTGCGGATACAGCTACCCCGCGGGCAGCAAACACTCCAATCACTTCTTCACGGGGAGTTTGAAGGGGGTATGGACTCCCATGAACCCCAAGGCTTTATAGATGCACCATGTGAGGCCCCCCAGAGGCAAAGCGGGGTGCTTTGACCAGCTTTGGGGTTCTGGTTGTTTACCTATGCAATGCACATAATAAAGCTTATACGACGATTATGAGCTTTTGGAAGCAGTTCACAGAGCATTCTGGAAGAAGATGTAGCCTGGAACGGAAAGACGGCCATCGGACGATACTTCTGCCCTCCCAGGAGAGGTCCCGGAGACCCTTGGTTTTGAAGACCACCTGAACTAAACTAAATTATGTCCTGTTGCCAAATAGTACTTAACTGTCACTGGGGTTTGATGGCATGAGCTACAGTCTCTTCCTGCAGCGGATTTTCATGCATAGGGTGCTCTCTGAAAAGGGGTGGGCCAAGTCTAACCCTTGGGCCTCCTGGCTCTTCCTCAGTCCCCCCCCCAACCCCAACGCCCCCTTGAGGGGAACAGATCCCTTCTATCACAGCAGACCCGGAGCCGGCCCGCAGAGCCTTTTAGGGCTTCGATCTCGTTCATCTTCCACAGGAGAACGTGGACTGTGTCATTTCGGCGCTGTGGGCTGATCTCTCCGTGGTCTCTTCGCGGTCCCTGGACCCCCTGGAGAATTTGGGGAGGGGAGGCGTGTGCAGCCGGCATTGCAGGTGCCCATGGGATGAGGGGTGCCTTCAGGGGTGCACCTGGGCACGGACCTGGGAGGGGGTCTCACAAGGAGAAAACGGCCGCTGAGACGCGTATGGAAGTAAATAGGACAAGGACGCCGGGTGGACGGGTTTTGTCCAGATTTCTCGGCCGCGTCTTCTCTGCCACCTCAAACTCTCCTGATTTCAGACATGTTTCGGTGTTATTCACAGGCCTGGGTATGATGCAAAAATCATGTTTCAACCGATATTTATAGCCCTAGATTTTATTTTACTGTGCCTAGGTCATTGTGAAAACCACAGTTTATCAGGCATTTTTGTTGGTGGTGTGCCTTAAACTGTTGCACTTAATTTTTTTAAATGTTTATTTATTTTTGAGAGAGCAAGAGGCAGAGTGTGAGCAAGGGAGGAGCAGAGAGGGAGGGAGACACAGAATCCGAAGCAGCTCCAGGCTCCGAGCTGTCAGCACTGAGCCCGACGCAGGGACTCGAACTTATGAGCCGTGAGATCATGACCTGTGCTGAAGTCGGACACTCAGCTGACGGAGCCACCCAGGTGCCCCCAAACTGCTCTATTTTTAAATGCCCCCCCAACTGAGGCATCAGGCATTTTTGTTTCTACTTACCCTCTACCAGTTGGGCAACCTTTTTCTTGTCTTCAGATCTGGCCTAAAATACAAATGGCAACAACATGTCTGTGTTGGGTTTAGCAGGAAGAAGTAATGGATACTATTCTGGAGGGGGTACTTATGTGTGACTGCTCATGACTTGGGCCATGACCCTGCGATTGCTGTCACTTGGGGAGGGGTACTTAGGACGCAGCCCTTACTTAAGTGACTAAACGTTGACACCCAGAGCTGAAGTTTTGCCCAGCAAAGTTTACTTTTAGGGCGAGCTATTTGATAGACATGTTTTGGTTCTGCCAGCATGGTTCACCCGAGACACAGAGGAGAAAATAGGGATCAGCAACATGGGAGATGTATGTTTCCCCAAAATGCCTCTGCAGCTCCAAATTCATTGCTTAGGATTCTTTATGGGAGTGTTTCTTTATCTGAACTGATACTCACATGAGTTGTGTTTTTAAAAGCTGAACAAGGCGAATGTTTTTTGCATGCGATTCTGGGACTGGGGTGGGGCAAGGGAGGCGCCCCAAGAATGGAATTCAAAGAGGCACCGCCCACTCTCGGCTGTGTGGGGTAGGGTCAGCCGGAGCCCGAGAGCCGGAACTGCTCTCCCGCACCCTGTCCTGGCCGGGGGTGGTGTGCACAGAAGGGACACCTTGCAGAGACTGGGCCTGTTAGTCTCCTTCTGGCCGTCCTGGGAGCTAAGTCCCAGAGGGAGACGGGGTGATGACGACCAGAGCCCAAGAGTCATGAAAAAGGTGCGTCTTTGGGTCCAGAGTGTGTGAGCTCAGATGTCCAAGTTGATATGGGATGGGAAAGGGGCCCTTGTTCCTTCCTCCGAGCCAGTCACAGTTTACAGAAGAGCGCCTGGCACCCTGGGTCCCCGGGGCAGCCATGAGAGGGCGCCGAAGTGCCCGGGGAACCCGCAGGGCCCCTGGGGGAGCAGGGGACGGGGGTCCGCTGCTTCCTGGGCAAATGGGGGCTGTCCCTGTGATTTCTTAGAAATAACTCTGTGGAGCCCGGGGGAGGCATGGCCTCAGACCCAGCGGTCGCCCGGAGTCCTTGTAATCTGGAAACACGACCTCACCTGCCTTCCCTTGCTGGTGAGACCCGCCACGCACGGACACACATTCACAACAGCAGACAGTAGGCAATACCTACGTTTTGGATCTGCATTCGGAGCTGCTGGTTGCTGAGCTTTAAGGATCTTGCGATGCTCTGAAGGTAATAGATGAGCATGCTGGGACAGAAGAACACAGGCCACGAGGGGGCCTCACCTCGTGCCCAGGGCCCACTCCCCGCCAGAGGCCCCCAGGACACGCCTCCGCCCCTCAGGACACGCCCCCGCCCCCCCCCAGACGCCCCCGCCCCCCAGGACGAGGGTGTCAGTGCGTGCTCAAGCTGGAGCGCACTGGGAGGGGGCTGCTTTCCTACTCACTTTTCACAGTACCCACCCCCCCGACCTGGAATTCTGCAGGGGTGAGAACAGTAAGGCAGGGGCGGGTGCGGGAGAGGCATTATTACAGAGCTTCAAGCCAGGAGCACCGGATCCGCTCGGAGTCAAAACCAAGCACAAGCCACTCCGCTCAAACGTAAGACCCCTTTCCGAGGTTATTTCAACCTCCGTCCGATAGGACACCCTGGCATTCAGCCCCATCGCAGCGGCCGCAGCCACTGCCCACCTGCTCTGCTGGAGGAATCCGGCCGCCCCGCCCCTGCTCGGGCAGGACTCAGTCCCCGCCTGGGTCGCCAGGCTCTACATGTGACTTTGCAAGGAACTCGTTGAGTTTATCTAATTAGTGGAGGCAGCGCTCTCTCGCTGGCCAAAGCTGCGGAATTTCCCACGCCTGGCGGTGGGGGGGGGGGGCCCGCGAGGGGTCGTGTGGGGTACTCACAAGAGCAGCAGCGCGGCCGGTAAGATGACCACGGGGCTGCTGACATACCCCACCACGGAGCCGAGCCACGCGGGGAAGTCCTTCTCGATGGTTTCCGACACGACATCGTACATTTTCTCTTGCCCACTGTGACAAAGACAGAACCCCAGTGTCATTGCTTGTGGCAGACGATGCTACGAACCATCAAGGAACAGGCGTACGGTCAGAGTCCCGTCCTCAGGGTCGGGCGCAAAGGTAGAGTAAATACCCCAATGTGCAAGTCATGTAACGTTCCCAAGACTTGGTATGAGTTGTCTGATTGATACTAGATTTGAAGGTGGAGTCAGTGTGTTTTAAGAATGTACACATTTTGGGGCGCCTGGGGGCTCAGTCAGTTAAGCATCTGACTTCTGCTCAGGTCAGGATCTCATGGTTCATGGGTTTAAGCCCCGCGTCGGGCTCTGTGGTGACAGCTCAGAGCCTGAAGCCTGTTTCAGATTCTGTGTCTCCCTCTCTCTCTGACCCTCCCCTGCTCATGCTGTCTCTCTTTCTCTCTCAAAAAATAAATAAAACATTAAAAAAAAAAAGAATGTACACAGAGGGGCCCCTGGGTGGCTCAGTAGGCTAAGTGCCCAACTTCGGCTCAGGTCAGGATCTCACTGTTCGTGGGTTCGAGGCCTACATCGGGCTCTGTGCTTATAGCTTGGAGCCTGGAGCTGCTTCAATTCTATGTCTCCCCCTCTCTCTGCTCCTCCTCCACTCATGGTCTGTCTCTCAAAAATAAATAAACATTAAAAATTTAAAAAAAAAGAACATACACAGAGATAGACTATAAATGTCCCCTATACTTTTGAAACTGACCTAAAGGAAGTGCTAGGCGGAGAGTTCTAGAAATTGCTGCCTCTAGGCAGTTAGATAAGTAATGTAGCGTTAAAAGGGACGTGGGCTGTCTTTTACTAAAAGCATCCTGAGCTCTGGAAGGGACAGATCGCCCAGGGGGGATTTCTCTGTAGCATAAGAGCTATACTTTTTTAATAGGCTCCGTGTTTTCAAGATGAGCACGGAGATGGTGCTATGTGAGGGCAGCCTGCTGTCAAGGAAATAGCATTGGTGTTGGATTCACAGGCTGTGGGTTCGAGATCTTTCTCTGCTGTTGACCTGTTCTGTAGTCCGGGAGGCGAATTCGCTTCAGGGCGGGGGCCCTTCCCTTAGAGCTCAGCCGCTCCGGGCAGAGACAGAACCCAGGTAACTTGCCTGAAGGGCCCGCAGTTCAGCGACGGCTTGTATCGAACGATAGCAAAGATGGTTGGCAGCATGCACAGGAACAGCATGAACAGAAGCATCGCCAGGTAGAAGTTGTTGGATCTGCGAAGAAACCGCGTGCCGTGGGCGGAGCTCCTTCTGGGATGGTTGATGACGACGCATGTGCCCAAAGCAACTCCAACACCCTGGGCCTGGCCCTTTATGGACAGAAAATCCCTCCTCCTGCAGGGGGCGCTGGGGGGCTCGGTCGGTTGAGCGTCCCCCTTCAGCTCAGGCCATGATCTCGCGGTTCGTGGGTTCGAGCCCCGCGTCGGGCTCTGTGCTGACTGCCAGCTCAGAGCCTGGAGCTGCTTCGGATTCTGTGTCTCCCTCTCTCTCTGACCCTCCCACTCTCATTCTCTTTCTCTCTCTCAAAAATAAATAAACATTTAAAAAATTTTAAAAAGATGCTTGGGGGCACCTGCGTGTCTCAGTTGGTTAAGGGTCTGACTCTTAATCTCCGCTCAGGTTGTGATCTCAAGGTTGGTGGGTTCTGCCCCACATCAGTTGTGCGCTGACAGCGTGGAGCCTGCTTGTGATTCGCTGTCCCTCTCTCTGCCCCTGCCCTTCTCTCTCTCTCTTTCTCTTTCTCAAAATAAATAAATGCTCAAAAGATGTTTAAAAAGAGGCTTAAGGAACAGCCCACGAGCCCAGCAGCAGCTGCGGGGGTGAGCTGGGAACAGCCCGCGCGCTCCCCAGCGGTGGGGTAAAGGCACTGGGGTGCTCTCCTCCGCAGGCTGGGCCGCACGAGCACGGGGCCCAGGGAAGTAAGCCTGATGTGCAAGAGCACATGCTGCGTGCACGCCCGTTTACACAAGGCGGAAGACCAGGCAATGTGGCGCCCTTAGGGGTCAGTGACGAGGGGCCTTGTGCGCAATGGGGGCTTCTGGGTGCTGCCCTGGGTCTGCCTCCCCATCTGGGTGCTGGTTCCCCACTCGCGCTCCGTTCGTGCACCTTCATGCCTCGTGCACACTTTAAAAACAAGTGTGAGGAGCTGGAGAGGAGGAGGGAATGGGCAAATCCGGGGGGTGTGGGGGGCACGGGCCGGGGCCTCGGGGGACCTGCATGGAGGACACACCGGGCTGGCACAGGCGGCCACCAGGACACCCCTGGAGGCCAGCGGCCCCGGGAAGGAGTCCCAGGCCCTCACCTGGAGGCTCGGAACACCTGCTGGTGAGGCACGTTGCAGGTGAGCACGGCCCAGCTCCGCAGGTACATGAGCCCGATCAGCTTGAGCACGTTGAAGGCGGGGAGGCAGGGCGAGAAGAAGGCCCCCATCCTGCAGCACAGGGGCAGGCGGTGAGCGGCCCCCCCCCCCCCGTCCTGCCGCCTGCGACTCCTGGGGGTCTCCACCCGCTGCCTAAGGGACGGGAGAACCCCCGGAGAGGCTGGGGGCCGGCCGCCCGGCTTGGGGCCCAGCCGGTCACTCCCGCGGGTGACGAGTGACCCCGCGTGACGCTGCCCTGCCACCCTGTGCCACGTGCTGTGTCTGCCTCCACGTCCGGTGAGGGGCGGGTACGTTCACCCCCGTGTCCGACAGTTTGCTGCAGGCCACCCCGCTTTTCCGCTTACCTGACTGAGCCACCCAGGCGCCCCATCCACCCCGCTTTTCCGGAAGAGCAGCCTTAGTACCTCTTGTCGCTAATAGAAATCCAAAGAGGATCTTTGCTTTTTCGCTTTTACCAGAAGCCCCCCCCCATCTGCAGGGTTTGCTCCGGGACCCCCGGATGCTGAACCCCGCACGCGCCGGGTTTTGCTAGCATACACACCTATGACTAAGCTCAACTTATAAAGTCGGCACTGAGGTTAACAATAACTCACAGTAAGATAGAAGCGTATCGATACTGTAACAGACGGCCCAAGAACGTGGCCTCCTTGTAGAAGTATCTTATGAACTGTACTCACCCTTCTTCGGTGGTGTGAGATTACTGTACTTTTAAAAGTGCCTGATATCCAGCAAATATTAAGTAAATGCTATGTATTACCTTTGATACTGTATTTGCGGGAGTTTGCAAGGTGGAGCGGACTATCAAGGTGCAGGTTTGGTTGAAGAAATATTGCTTCGTGTCTCTCTATGCCTCATGCATTTCACTGAACGGTTATGGAGAGAGACTGTGTTTCCTGACTGTCTGGAGCGCCCGAACAGAAGTATGGAAGCTGCTTTCTCTTGCTTGTGTTTGAACAGACAGCGCCGCATGTGGCCGGGTAGGCGGCACCGGAGACCGGGGCATGACTCCGTGCCCCCACAGTCACACGTATGTGGGGGTCCCTTTGGGGTCTTCGGTATCTTTAGGAAAAGGGCTGCGTTGGCCAGGAGTTGCCCTGCGTGAATGGCTTTCTGGTTTCTGGCCTCATCCCAGGATGGGCCACTGGGTCTGGAAGATGGCCCTGGGCTCAACGTCTCCATGAAAATATGGCGGCACATGGGAGGGTCCGAGGGCAGGGCTGGACCCAGCCGTGACACGGCCCCTCCTGGAACTCCCACGGGTTCAGTAGACCCTGTTCCCAGCCGCCCCCCCCCAGCAGCTTATTCTAATATATACATATTTGGGGGGAGGGGCTGTGACCAGTAGTGGCCTAAATACAGACTATTTCCTTTCTTGCTCCTTTCTGCAAAATTCTTTAAAAGCCATTGCTAAATGTATTATACATGCAAGATGGTCTAGTTCAGAACTGTCTATGTCCCTTTCAATTCTTACGATCGTGTGTGTTACAGTCGTGCGCCGCCCAGGCCGAGTAAGTCAAAATCTTGGTCCAGAGGCACCTGGAGGGCTCAGTCGGTTGTGTCTGACTCTTGATTTCGGCTCAGGTCATGATCTCATGGTTCGTGAGTTCGAGCCCCGTGTCGGGCTCTGGGCTGATAGCCCAGAGCCTGCTTGGGATTCTGTCTCTCTCCCTTTCTCTCTGTCCACCCCCCACCCACTCACGCTCTCTCTCAAAACAGATAAGAAACTTAAAAAAAACCCCTTAGCCTGGATGAGAGGTAAGCGAAGGTAAGAAGAAGCTTTGGCACCTACCAAATCATTCCTTGGTTGTAGACTAAATGTAACACGTTCTCTGCTATTTTGAATTCCCCGTATTCAGGCTACAAGAGAAAAGGAATTTTCACATTAAAAAATGGTTTTAGGGGCACCTGGGGGGGCTCAGTGGGTTTCAGCATCCGACTTCGGCTCAGGTCATGATCTCATGGTTTGTAGGTTCGAGCCCCGCGTCGGGCTCTGTGCCAACAGCTCGGAGCCTGGAGCTGCTTCGGATTCTGTGTCTCCCTCTCTCTCTGACCCTCCCCAACTTGCTCTCTATCTCTCTCTCTCTCAAAAATAATAAATAAATGTTAAAAAAAAATTCCAAAGTTCTTTGCCCAAACTAGTTCATGATAGTCACATGCAGTGGGGGTCCTCTGCTCTTACATACGAGAGCGGCCGCGGTCTGCGTGGCCACCTCAGGAAGCAGAAAGTGTGAGAACGAGAAGGAAACACAGCGCTGCGCCCCCACCCCCCTTCTCTCAGCCGCCCCCGGAGTGGAGGCTCCCGCCGGACGCGCCTCCCCCGGGCCCAGCCTCGCGCTTACAAACTTGCTTTCCAGGTCCCAGCACCAGTAGTCACTCAGGTACCGGACGAAAAGCCCTCGGAAGAAGTCAATGAGCAGAATGCTGGCCACGGTGAAGAGCATGTCTATGATGGAAAGCTTCAGCATCTCCTGGAACACAGGGGGCCTTGATGTCCCCTCCCTGCAGGGGCCCCACCTGCCAGCCCCCGTGGGCCCTCCAGTGGCATCTTCGTGTCTGTGCACAATGCGTGTTCCACAAATATTTAATTTGAATTTGAATTTTGGTGTCTGAGTCCGACATGACAGGAAGCCAGGATGGATCCTGAGCTTTGTGGTTCTGAGCCGCCGGAGACCACCTGAGGCCGGTGACTCAAGTCCACGGGACAGACAATACTTGCCGGGGGGGGGTGGGGGTGCTGAGACTCTCTGCATGAGACCCATGAGATCCCGTACGGGGTGGACAGAGGGCAGAGTCTGGAGCGGACGCCTGGGCGCAGACCTCCTTTCAGCTCTTTACCGTCTGTGTCCGTGGGCAAGTTAACAAGCCCTGGAGCCTCAGTTTCCCCATGTGTGTCTGTAAGGAGGGTCCTGCCGGGTTCTCAAGAGGACTGAGCACGTAGCACAGGGCTGGCCCAGAGTTCACGCTGCACGGGGCTCAGTGCTGATTGTTGTGATTAAGTCGGAGAAAACCAGAGGCCCTCCCTGAACCTTAGTTTCCTTTCCTAGAAAATAGGGCTACTGAGCCTTCAGAGGAAGCAATGAGGTGGGCGTGAGGGGCTTTATGAGGGAGAAGGGGGCCACCTGCCCGACGTATGTCTCCCAGCACTGGTCTTGTGGGCTCTGGGTGTAGACGGCGGTCCTGTTGGCCTCCGGGAGGGCCCAGGGGGAGGTCGGAAGGCGAGTCTCTGCTGGGGGCCACGTGCTGTTGCTGCCAAGCTCTGTCCCGGGCCCACGTGTGGGCCATTCCTCCCCTTCAGGGGCCGCACTGGTGGCAGAGAAGGAGGTAGAACCTGTCCAGTGGCTGGTGTTAGCGGTGTTAGCGGCTTCCTGCGGACGGAGGGAAGGGAGGAAAGAAGTCTGTTCATGTGTTTGTAAATAAGACTCATGGGCACCCAGGAGAGCTTGCTTGGGAATAATCTCGTGGCGCCGGCCAAGACCCCTGGCGACCCCTTCCCTCCCCCACCAAGTGGGGCACCTTGGACACGGCATCTCCCAGGACGCACTCACAGCAGTGCTCATGCCGTTCACTTTGTCCAGGAGGGCGATGATCAGGCTGTAGAGGTTCCCCAGGTACAGCACGAGGACCCTGAAAACACACGCCCGCCGTGAGAGACGAGGCCACACGCGAGCCCGAGGTTCCAGATGCGCCCCGGTTAGGAGTCACCTCGTGGTCGACCTGAGCCCCTGGCTGCCGCCCGCACGTGTTTCCTTCAGGATCGTGTGGGGAAAATAAAACATCCAGAGCCTGTCCTGCTCAGCCGGCCTGGCCGGGGCCCGAGGACCCCTTTACCCCCCCCCCCCACTCTACAAGCCCTGCTTAAGGGACAAGTGGTTGAAACATGGGCCACGCCAGCCGCTCAGGGAGAGTCCTCAGGAGGCGGAACACAGTGTGAGGGCCGCGGGTCTGGTTCCCACACGCGGGCCCAGCCGCCAGCCGCCCTGAGGGACTCTGGGCAGCCGTGACCCGTGGTGGGGGGGGGGGGGTCTGCTGGTCAGAGACTTGCTGGAAGTGTCTGGGGCTGGAAGGCTTCGCAAACCTGTGGTGGGATTTCCCAGGAGGCAGCCCGGGGTGTAGCAGACGCGTGTCGGGACGGTGAGAGGGGAAAGGAAGGTGGCGTGTCCGCCAGCTCCTCCCGGGGACCCTGACTGGCCTTGGGGTCACCACACCAGTGCGGGGGGGGCAAGGCGAGAAAGCAGCTTTGCCTCGAGGACAAGATTCTGAGCTGAAACTCTGCATCGGCCCTGGGTCCCCAAAGGCTCCCTTGTTCGCAGGTGCAGCTCAGACACCTGGGGGGCAAGGGGGGCAGTCTGGGGCCACACTGCCACCAGCCCCCTCCCCTCCCTGCGCGCCCGGCCAGAGCCCGCTGTGCCTGCGCTGGGGGCGCCCGCCCGGGGCAGGCCCCTCAGATCACGCTCAGAAGCTGTCCGGCTGCAGGACGGAGGACGACTCCGGGCCCCCTGACCTGTCGCCGCTCTGGCCTTGCGGGGCCCTGGACAAGGGGTGACGTGTCCGCTGGGGAGCTAATGGGACCACAACAGCGTGTCCTGCCCTTGTGACCGGAACCAGCCCGAGTCCGTCCAGGTGAGGCTCCTGAGGACTCTGTGTCTTTAGTTTTGAACGTGAGTCACGAGACCCATCTGTGGAACAGGATGGATCCTCCCCGGGGCTTGCGGGTGAGGACGGGGCTGACACGGGGGGAGCCGGGTGTGGGCCGGGCTGAGAACTCCATCCCGGAGCCCCCTCGGCCTGGGGGGTCTCTGCACGCCCCTTGCTCCCCTCCCTCCCTCCTTCTTCCCCCTTCCTTCCTTCCTTCCTTCCTTCCTTCCTTCCTTCCTTCCTTCCTTCCTTCCTTCCTCTCTCTCTCTCTCTCCCTCTCTCCCTTCTTTTCTTTTCGTTTCTTCTCGTTTCTTTTCTTTTCATTTGTTTTCTTTTCTTTTCTCATCTCTTCTTTCTTTCTTTCTTTCTTCCTTTTAAATTCAAGTTAGTTCATATACAGTGTAGTCTTGGCTTCAGGAGTAGAATTTAGTGATTCATCACTCACATATAACACCCAGTGCTCATCAAACAGGTGCTCTCCTTAATGCCCATCCCCCCACCTCCCCTCCAGTGACCCTCAGTTTGTCCTATTTAAGAGACTCTTATGGTTTGCCGCTCTCTCTTTTCTTACTTATTTTTGTTTTCCTTCCCCCATGCTCATCTGTTATGTTTCACGACATCACATGATATTTGTCTTTCTCTGCCTGACTGATTCTGCTTCGTGAAAAACACTCTAGTTCCATCCATGTTGTGGCAAATGGCAAGATTTCACCCTTTTTGATCGCTGAGTAGTGTTCCATTATCCGTACCATACACAAAAACAAATTCAAAATGTGAAACAGGAAACCATCAACATCCTAAAGGAGAAAGCAGGCAACAGCCTCTTTGACCTTGGCTGTAGCACTTCATACTTGACATGTCCCTGACGGCAACGAGAATAAAAGCGAAAATGAAGTAGTGGGACCTCATCAGGGGAAAAAGCTTCTGGGACACCTGGGTGGCTCAGTGGGTCAAGCCTCGGACTCTCGATTTTGGCTCAGGTCATGATCTCACAGTTTGTGGGATCGGGCCCCACATCGGGCTCTGCTCTGACAGCGAGGCACCTGCTTGGGATTTTGTCTCTTCCTCTCTCTGCCCCTCCCCTGCTAACACATGTACACACACTCTCTCTCAACATAGATAAACATTTTCTAAAAAAAGATAAAACTCTTCTGCACAGCGAAGGAAACAATCAGAAAACTAAAAGGGAACCGACAGAATGGGAGAAGATATTTGCAAATGACATATCGGATAAAGGGTTAATATCCAAAATCTACAAAGAACTTACCAGACTCAACACCCAAAAAGCAAATAATCTAGTGAGGAAATGGGCAGAAGACATGAACAGACACTTTTCCGAAGAAGACATCCAGATGCCAACCGACACTTGGAAAGATGCCCAGCATCACCCATCATCAGGGAGACGCACATCTGAACCACACTGAGACCCTTGCTGTTTCTAGTCGTGTTTTTCTACCTTTGAAATGACAGTTGGCCACTTTCCTGCCGCAACAACCTCAGAGGTGAGCGGAGCTGCTGGGGCCCAAACCGCTTACTCTCTGGTCTTTGGGGAAAACGCCCGCCGCCCCGGAGTGAGAGCAGCCTTGCCCGAAGCTGACGGGCGACCGGCTCCACAGAACGCTGCCAAGGGGCACGAGAGCGGACGCGGAAGCAGGTGTAAAGCGGGGCTGTGACACACCCCCTCTGCCCCCGTCACCAACAGTCCCCGCTCCTGGTCCACCACGTAGACGAGGGCCCTGCCCTCCGGGAGAAGGGGCCCCCAGGGAGACCAGGCGAAGCCGGCACTGGGAATGCATGTGGTTGCCCGTCACCCAGCAGCCTGCACGCTCGGCCTCACTCCCGCTGTCCCGTCCGGCCACCGTCCCGGCGCCGCCCTGTGCACCCCCTCTCCCCCCCCTTTCCCTCCTCCTTCCCCTTTCTCTCCCTGTGCATCCTGCTTTCCTCACGACGCACCCACAGGGATGCTCTGTGCTAAGCTTTAAGGGCAGTGAGCAGCTTGCTCTCGAGGGACGGGGTCCCCCGCGTGGGCGTTCCCACAGGGCCCGCACCTGGCCAGCTGGAAGCGCAGGGTGGTCCGCGGGTGGTACATCTCCAGGGCGGCGATGAGGTCGAAGGCTGACGGCGCTAGCATGGTGACCAGGGACACGACCACACTTACCTGCGGAGACAGCGCGCCGGCCGTGAGCCGCGGTTCCACGGCCCCGCCTCGCCGCCTCGCACCCGGCTCCCGGCCTTCCCCGCGGTCGGTGGGCTCTCGGGGGCGGTGTGGTCCCTACGTGGACACCCTCCGCCAGGTCCCTGCCGATCCGCCGTGCTCGAGAGGCCCTGCCACTTCCTCGTGGGCTGGTCCCTGCTTAGGAACCTTTCAGGAACCTCAGTCCTAAAGGACTAAAGGCTCCGTCCATGAAGCGTCTGACTTCGGCTCAGGTCACGACCTCACGGTTCGTGAGTTCAAACCCCGCGTCGGGCTCTGTGCTGACAGCTCGGAGCCTGGAGCTGCTTCCGAGTCTGTGTCTCCCTCTCTCTCTGCCCCTCCCTGGCTGTGCTCCCTCTCTCTGTCTCAAAACTAAATAAACGTTAACAAAAAGACACATAGAAACAACCTAAGTGTGTAAGAGCTGGCACGCGGTCAACTGTGCCAGGTGCCCCGGACTGCGATTGGGTCATTAAAGCGACTCTGCAGGGAAAGTCAGCGTCTGGAAACGTGTAGGTGAAGAAGCACCGCGCGAGAACAGCAAAGCACAGTCCGCGAGCCCCGAAGGTGAAGGTGAATGAACGCTCGAAGGTGACGTCGACTCAGAACCGCTCCCGACAGAGACCCCAAGCCGTCCGGCCGGGCCGGGTGTGGCCCCGGGAGCTCGGAGTCCTTGCAGTTGGTGCTGGTGGACAGCAGGACGGGTGGTCAGGGAGATGCCCCCGCCCGTCTGCCTCAGGAGCAGCCAGGAAGCGGAGGGCAGGCTGCTCCGCGTCCCCCCCGACGGCGCATGCGGGGAAGGCGCGGGTACCTCGTTCTTCTCCCAGAGCGTCAGCTCCTTCTTCGACTGCTCCAGCTTCTGGGACCGGTCCACCACGAAGTAGATGAGGTAGATGCTTCCGGCGAGCGACAGAAGCACCAAGATGTTGGCAACAACCCTCAGGCACACCGTCACCGCCCTGCGGGGAGAGGCGGCGTGCGGGCGGGGCGCCCGGTTGGCACAGGACCCACCCCTCATCTCCCGAGGGACCACGGACTTATAAATCCGACTTCTAAATCCACCCGCTGCCGTCCGGGGGACTTGAAACAAGTGTCGTGAATACCGCGCAGATTCACGCGGTAGGTGCTTGGCTGTCTCTCCCCCGAGAATGTACGCTCTGAAATGGTTTGCTCTTCCTCACGGTTGTGCCCTCGGCTCCTGAAGCAGCCCCAGTGCGTGAAAACGCCTCCTAGCTCTTTTTTAGATGATGAACAAGGAAGTAAAGAGCAAGCAAGTGCCATGAGATGGAACGGGGTTTACTCTTTCCTTCCTAACTCTGGGGGCAAATTCACTCATTCCAACTGCTTGTATATATATTTTTAATGTTTATTTATTTTTGAGAAAGAGAGGAGACACAGCATCCGAAGCAGCTCCAGGCTCTGAGCTGTCAGCACAGAGCCCGATGCGGGGCTTGAGCCCACGAACTGTAAGATCATGACCTGAGCTGAAGTCAGATATTCAACCAACTGAGCCACCCCAGGCGTCCCCACCAACTTAACTTAAGGCATCTTCTTCCAACTGTGCGGCCAGTCTTAGCCTGGGTTTCCGCACAAGCAGAGCCTCAGGCAAAGGCCTGTTTGCAAGCACTTCACTTGGGACGTGACCCCAGGAGGTCTGTGCGGGACACGGGAGGGGGCCGGTCGGGGCAGGAATGTGGTGCCCTTGGCCACAGCTCGAGGCAACGGCGGGCCTTCTGAGGCGCTTCTGAGCTGTATCTGAGGAGACACAGGGAAGCTTCTGGCATCAGTCTCGTCCCTACTGGTCAAGGGCAGCTCCCTGGGCGTGGGCCCCCGGGGTGGCCCCCAGCCTCTCCGATTCTTGTGCGTGTGCTCGGTGGGGGCTCGGCGGGCGCCCACACTGCAGCCTCAGAGGGGTCCTGGGGCAGCGAGCAGTGGGTGCCAGTGAGGGGTGTCCCCCTCTCTCTCTGCCCCTCCCTCACTGGTGCTCTGTCTCTCTCGCTCTCAAAAATAAGTAAACATTAAAAACATAAAGTAGTCTTTGCTTAATTTAGAAAACTAGAAATCAGTGCTAAAAATACCTCTTTTATTACCTAAGTAGAAGAAGGCAGTCAGCTTTAGAGCTCTCACCCTGTGGCCTGATTTAAGGAGGGAGGAGCTGCTCCTAAGTACTGCTCCCAACGGTGTATCACGTGACCAGAAGGTCAGATTTACAAAGAAGACGGGTGCCTGGGTGCCTCAGTCGGTCACGCGCCCGAGTCTTGGTTTAAGCTCAGGTCATGACCTTGCAGTTTGTGAGTTTGAGTCCCGCATTGGGCTCCATGCGGACAGTACAGAACCTGCTTGGGACTCTGTCTCCCTCCCCCACTCCCCTCCCCTGCTCTCTCTGTCTCTGTCAAAATAAGTAAATAAAATTTTTTTTTAAAAAAAGTAGGAAGAAGAGCTGCGTGACCGTGTGTGAAAACAAGATGCAGATAGTTGGGCCATTTCTGGACCAAATTAAAATAGCGGATCAGTGAATGAAGCGTGGGGCATCTCCATACATACAGGTTTTTGCTTTTCTTCTTTTCCTGTTCTTCCAGGACGGCCTCCTTTAAAAAGAGACAAACTCGGATTAGAAGTGAAGCGTTCCCGTTAATTGTGAGTCTTTAGAACAATTCATGATAAGAAATGATTATTCAGTATGTGTAACCTCTCTCTGAGATTTTGTTGACTTCAGTGCTTTGTATAATAAGCAGATAAAAATAGAGGGGCGCCTGGGTGGCTCAGTTGGTTAAGCGTCCGACTTTGGCTCAGGTCACGATCTAGCAGTTGGTGGGTTCGAGCCCCACGTCTGGCTCTGTGCTGACAGCTCGGAGCCTGGAGCCTGCCTTGGATTCTGGGTCTCCCTGTCTCTCTGTTCTTCCCCCACTTGCGCTCTGTCTCTCTCTCAAAAATAGATGAACATTAAAAGAAAAAAATATATACAGAGAGAGATGGGGGCTTGGTGAGAGGAGTTGGAAGTTCCAACTCCGTTGGAAATAACGGAATTGCTCCGTTATTTAATAAGTGAAATGATCTAAATGGTTTTTCCCCAAAAGGGGCAGCACTGAGCCACTGGGCTGCTCAGCAGCCCTGAGTCCTGTGAGCTTCTGACTGCATCACAAGCTAGCGCTAAAACTCACATTGCCAACACACGTGGATTCGTTCACGCACAAGTCCCCCGCAGGATACTCGCAATCCCTTATGCAAATTATCAAGAGTACAGCAACTGAAATTTTAGGGGGCGGAATTTTAAAATTAAAATAAGGTGTTTTCAATGTCTTGTCCTGCACTCGTTGCGGAGGACGCCATCCGCAGAGGCCCAGCGGCTCCGCGGTCAAGGTCGGGGGAGCTCTGACGGCCCTCGGCCCCACCGCGCGGCCCACTCACCCTGATGCTGTTCACGATGGCGGCGGTTTTGCTCTCGGCGGCCTCGGGGTTTCCGATGAGGTAATCCCAGGCACAGAACACGCGCCAGCAGAACGTGTAGTTTTCGTTGGAGGCTCTGGCGAGGCTCGTGCGGGAGTTCTTGGCCATCCTGCGAGAGAGGAGGGGGGCCGGGCACGTGAGGCCAGAGTCAGGTGGGCCCCGGCCGCCCCTGCCGCTGGTCCCCACGGAGCCCCGCGGTGACCTGGCGAGCAGCCCCATCGGGTGCAGACAAGGGGGCATGAGCGGGTCCAGCGCCCCTACTGTGCCCCACTCTGGTGGCCGGGAGGTCGCTGACGGCAGCTGTGCCCGGGCGCTGGGCAGTGTGACTGTGAAATCAAAGCCTCCTTCGAGCCGACTCAGTCTTCCTGCAGGCCTGTCCCACCGAGGGGACGTGACCCCACCTCAGGGAGCCTGTGGGGTGCCTCCTGCCCACGATACCCCTTAGATGCATCTGAAAGCAGGAGTCACCGTCCCTCGTCCCCCTGTCTCTGGTTCTAAGCTTTTGCCTGTCCTCTCCCTCCACAGCTCTTGCTCCTGAGTTTGCCCCCATCCTTCTCTGAAACTGTAACATCTAGCAAAGGGCCTGTCTTCCAGGGGGTTCTGGAGAATCCTAGAAGCTGGAAAGCTCCTTGCCAAGTGGAGGCCCCAGGTCACTGTGTGCCTCCTCAGGCTTTTGTCTGTTTGATGGTAATGATGATGGTGATGGTGATGATGATGGTGATGATGGTGATGATGGTGATGATGGTGGTGATGGTGATGATGGTGGTGATGGTGATGATGGTGGTGATGGTGATGATGGTGATGGTGATGATGGTGATGATGATGGTGATGGTGGTGGTGTTGATGGTGGTGGTGGTGATAGTGGTGGTGGTGGTGATGGTGATGATGATGGTCATGATGATGATGGTGATGAAGATGATGATGGCGGTGATGATGGTGATGATCTGTTTTTACCCCTAGCACTCGTACCTGCTCTCAGCTAAGATGCCTCTTGGGGCAGGTGATGAAGACACACAGGTGCACACAAGGCAGATGGAAGTGCCAGGCGAGCCATGCGGGGCAGGGCCAGGCTCTCCCTGGACTACAGCCTGTCAGTCAGTCGGCTGTGTCTCCCTCCAGTGCAGAGGCGGGGGTGTGTGAAGCCTGCAGGCACCTAGCCGTCTTTGGAGCCAACCTGCCCATTTTACTAATGAGGCCCAGGCAGGGAAAGTGAGTGGCTGCAGGTGACACGTGCAAGACCCCTAACCCCCAGCCGCCCCGCCTTCCTCCCACGGCGCCTCCTCTTGGTGACGGACTGGAAGTGCAAACCGCGTCCAGACGCGGATGGGCCTGCCCCTCACCAAACTCGCAGCTCCGTCACAGGCCTACAAATAGCCAACGGAGGATGTTTCGCTTTCTGCAACCTCTGGTCACTTACAGCGTCCTGTTCCCATCTCTGTGACTGCAGTTACTAAGTTGCCTGAGATGACCTTACCTGGTAAGCCTACGTGATTCCTGTCTCTCCAGACCCAACCCAGAACCTGGCACTGGCTGTGGAACAGTGTGGTTAACATGAGCGCATCTCTTTTAGCCTTGGTCTTCCCATCTACAAGGTGGGGTACAGTTGTGCCTCAACTCTACGTGTTAGTGACGAGCCTGAGGTCATGCATGCCACTCTGGGCATGTGTTTGGAAGAACGGAGCAGTCATACTTTTTTAAGAGGACGATGAAGCTGTAAGCAAACACGGCCATGCCCACCAGGAAGTACGCCAGGGGCAGCCGGTAGCCTGCTCTCCCGATCCTTCTCTCCCTGCCGTAGTAGCCGTAGAAGAGGACGGAGTATTGCAGATAACCCTGCACAGAAAGAACACTCCGGGTCATTCCGGCTCCCCAGAGGCAGCCCACTCCGCCCTCCCTCCCTCCCTCGGGAGGAGGGTGTGGCCACGCCTCTGCCTCACCCCCAGGGACCAGACGGTGTCCAGATCTTGGGCAGAAACGACACTCTCCTTGGGGATGGTCTTGCTGTGAGTGCTCCCGAAGGGCTGGCCTGCAATGAGCTGGTGAGAGAGAGCACAATGTTATGGGATCCTGGGGGGGGTGGGGCAGAAGAGAAGGGGTGGCGATCCCCACGGCCGCGAAGGCGCTGCGCCTCTGAGATCTCTGGGGGCTGGGTTTCTGCTTGATTCTTGCTGATGGAGGAGTAGTCCTGGGCGGAGAGACTTGCTCTTTGTTTGCTCGGCCCGCCCGGGTGCTCTGTCTCTGGGCTGGAGGGGGCTTCTCCAGGTGGGTGTTTGAGGTCACAGGGTTTCTTTGATGGCACGGGAAGTAACCCATTTACTCATTTTGTCTGTCACCTCTTTCTGAACAGCCTAAGAACTAGGAAGCGCTTTTGTATTTTTTAAATGGTTGGAAAAGAATTAAAAGAAGAATATATTGTGACACTTAAGAATGATATGGAAGTCAAATTTCAATATCCGTAAATAGAATTCGACTGGGGGCTCCTGGGCGGCCCAGTCCATTAAGCTTCCGACTTTGGCTCAGGTCATGATCTCACGGTTCGTGGGTTCAAGCCCCGCGTCGGGCTCTGTGCTGACTGCCAGCTCAGAGCCTGGAGCCTGTTTCGGAGTCTGTGTCTCCCTCTCTCTCTGACCCTCCCCTGCTCACGCTCTGTCTCTTTCTCTCTCTCTCTCTCAAAAATAAATAAAAATTAAAAAAATTTAAAAAATAGAATTTGACTGGAACACAGTCACACTGTTCACGTGCTGTCTGTGGCCACTTTCACACTGTGGCAGATGGAGGGGTGTGACAGGGGCCACACGGCCTCACAAAGCCTGAGCTATTTACTAGCTGGCCCTTCACAGAAAGTTTGGGTGTCCTGCTTGAACACAAGGGTGATGAGGGCAGTCGCATTATGCAGCCGCTGTTACATCTCTTGTTTGTAACAACTGGCATTTGTATTCCCCTGGGACTAGTTCTTACCTCTGGAATGACGATAAAAGCGCCTGTCATAATCGTGAGCACAATATTAATTCCAAATAACCATCTCAAGAATATGAAGTAGGAGGCAACACCAGATCCAAAATGACCTAAAGAAAGACAAAAAGAGCAGTAAAAACAAAATAAACCAAACCAAACCAAAACAACCCCCCCCAAACAGAAACCACACACAAAAAACCCAAGAAGCAAACAATATAAACAAGATAAACAATATAAAACCCTCACGGTGCCAAATTCTCCATGAGCAACGTTGCAGTTTGTGTATTGGGGGACAGACAAGAAGGCCAGTCAGCCAGTCAGGGTTCCCAGACAAATAGTCATTTACGTGGGTCTGGATGCTCATTAGCATTTCCAGGTATAAGCACAGAAAAAAATCCCTAATTTCATAATTCCCCTAATGACATATTCATCTAAAATACTTCTCAAATACTTGTCAGATTTATAACATTTTAAGTATGTTCAGAAGAATTAGCATCTTTTGAAGGGTGCCTGTGGACTCAGTCAGTTGAGCATCCGACTCTTGATCTCATCTCAGGTCATAATCCCAGGGCTGTGGAATCGATCCTGCATCTGGCTCCGCACGGGGTGTGAAGGCTGCTTGGGATTCTCTCTCTCTCCCCCTCTGGCCCTCTCCCCTGCTCATGCACTCTCTCTCTACAAAAGTAAAAGTTAATAAGCCCAACTCTTTAAAAAAAAAAAGGATCAGCATTTTTAAAGAATTTGACATATATATTTTTCATTTGTTGTGGTTTTGAGAATTTGCAGGATTTTCTTAGAATTCTTTTGTTTTAATTTCAAGATATACAGCAATTTGCTATTAGAGGAAACTGGGTGAAGGAATTACAGAAACTCTTTACAACTTTCCTATATATCTGCAGTTTCCTATATATTTTATTCTAAAAGAAAAGTGTATTCAAAACCAAATTTCTATTAAGAAGATAGGGGAGCACAGAAATTAGATAAAGATGTGTGTGATTTGTTCAATACTTGAAAAAAATCCCTTGAATTTTTATTTCAAATTTAGTTTATGTTGGTCATTATAAACAGGAAAACACAAAACATCACAAAGGAAAAAAAAACATTACCTAGTCTAGGTCACTAAATTAAAATCACTATTAGAGTTTCCAGCAAACTTTTAATGTGATCCTTCATTATTATCCCACATGTATAGACTTTTCGTATAAAATTGGCATCTCTCTACAACATGCATCTTGAGCTATCAATGTTTTATAAGCATTTTCTCATGCGAAAAAAAAAAATACTCTTTCATGAAATAAACTGTATTGCTTCAGCAGCCGAATTTTCCGCAATTTACTTGACCCAGCCCCACTACTGGCCATTTTGGAAGTTTCTGACTTTCCATGGGGTACGGGATTCACTGGCATAAATGAGTCTGTCGTAAATAATTTCTGTCCAAGGTCGGGACACACTGAGGGAGGCTCTCTGGAGAAAGGGGGTGTGGGGGTCAGGGGCGGTCAGGGGAAAGAGCGAGGCAAGGATGTGGTCTTGGCTGGAGTGGCTTCGGCTGGCCCCACGGGACCCTGGAAGGCAAATTGCACAACACGGTGGGTTGGCTCCATTTTGCACGAAGTGCTGGACTTAGTCCATCATCACCTCTGGGCCCTCGGCTGGGGCAGGCGACGGGCGCCCCTGCATCAGGAAGTGCTGGCCCAGGGCGGTTCTCCAGACAGCCGGGGTTGGGGGAGAGAGTAAGGGGGTGGCCGGGGAGAGGGTGGGGGGTGGGGGGTCTGGGTGGCTGTGAGTCATGGCATCAACACCCACCAGCCAAGTCAAGAAATGCGGGTGGGGCCCCGACTTTGTCGGCCTGTGCTGATTTTGTTGTGGCTCTTGTTTTCTCTGGTTGTTAAGGGATGGAAGAGTTTTACCAAGGAGGAGATTTTTGTTACAAATTCTCACGTCCCTCTGGAGATGCCGCGGAGATGCCATCCCAACCAGCAGTCCCGCCCACTGCGCACACACGCGCTAAATTCCACCGAAATACTGAAAATGGACTTTTCTCCATCTGCCGACTTTCTGCTTTGTTGTCTGATGGATGTTCAGTTTCCTTTACAGGTGATTAAATGCAGCCCGATCTTCCCTGATGATTTCCTTCTTCACCTTCACGATTGGACAGGCCTCTGTCCGGATCCATTCTGAGATTGCACGCCCTGTAGCTCGTCATTCTTCTGTGGCTTCTTATTTTATATCTAATAATTAATGGGACCTTGAAGCGGAGGCTCTAACTGTACTCTGTAAGAGTCCCATTTGCTGGTCCAGTATCCTCGGCAGTGCTTTGAGGGCAGTGTGTTTACAGTGTATTTGAACGTTTGGTTGTGCAAGCTCATCTGCATTTCTGTTTAAAAAAGTTTTTATGTTGAGTCTTCTGGATGTTTTTCCTCCGTATACATTTTACGATCATTTTGTTGAGTACAGAAAAAATTGCACTGAGATTTTTACTGGAATTGCTTTAAACTTGTTAAGTGATGTAACAAAAGTCCACACCTTCCAAATATGAAGTCACCCAAGTCTCTCACAAGACTCTTGAACTATGCTGTGGTCCGATTTTACAGTTTCCTCCATTTCGGACTCACTGTTGAGTTTTTTCCTGGTATTGTGTGCTGTGTGTTATATGTGCATTTGTGTGTGTGTGTGTGTGTGTTGTGTGTACATGTTTGTGAATGTGGCTTCTTTATTTTTTAGAATATGTTTTCTAAGTGGCTCCAATCACCCCCAATGAAATGCAGATTTCTGAGGTTTTGTTTGGCAATTGCTCACATCAGCCTCCTAACCTTGTGCAGTTTTTCACTTGATCTTCTGGGTCTGAGTCGGGTCCGAGTCTCGAATGACCTGTGAGCCGCAGCGAATGTGGGGCGGCTGTCGTCTGGGGGAGCGGTAGACAGATGCCTTCCATCTCCACCGTCCCGCGTGCAGTGCGAGGACCGGGACACACAGCCCCTTCTCGGGCCACCCTGTCACTGGGCCACTGCAACCACATCCGCCGCTCCCTCCCTCGAGCGCCCTACTTACTCTCAATTTTCTTTATCCTCATTTCCCAGGGGATGAAGATGACCATGAAGTTACGGGCCATGCGCGCAAACTTCCGCCAGAGCTGAAAAGGAGGGAGCAGGGTTAGAGGGCTTCACATTTGTCAGGATGGAACGACACGGTGATGCTAAGGTCCCTGGCGGGGGAGGGGCTCCCAGACACGCCGTCCGCTACCTCTAAGCATGACGTCACCGGACTTGAGGCAATCCTGGGATGAAAGCAGCCCCTGTCGGCTCCAAGCTCTTGTCAGGGCTGTGGCACCTGCCTCGGGCCCTGAGCTGCGGCGTCCGTATTCAAGTGCATGTGGTCCAGGGTCAAGGCTGCCTTATCCTTCCCGCTCCCACTCTGGGGCCTAAGAACAGTGGAAATCACTTGAGGAATGATTGAGGAATGATGTCCACTCTGGGGCTGGCACCCAGGAGTCCGCACGGCCAACAAACTGTCCTGGTGACCACAACTCCCCCAACTTCGTTTGGGGATGAAGAATCTAGAACGTATCTTGAGCACCAGCCGCGCCCACTGTGTGCCTCCCGCCCGCACCTGTGCTGGCCGCCTGCCCTCTCTCCTGGCAGAGGCTGACAGTGGGGGGATCCGCAAATTTGTCTTGTGTGTTTAAGACCCAAGTGCCAAGAGTTCAAAATCTTCCCCCCCCCCACCCCCCCGCTTCCTCCAAGGAGAATAAAGGACAGTGCGCTCTGACGCCGACTCTGCTCTCTCACGGGATTGGCAGGCCGTCCGTTAACACACAAACAATCTGGGCTTGTGTTGGAAGCAAATGATATCATTGCAGAAAGAAGGGCTCCAAATGCAATTACAGCGCTCCGAGCTCCGAGACAGCGCCCAGCCCTGATGCCGCCGCGCGGTCATGCCGTTCGGGGTGTCTGCGAGGCCAGACGCGTGAAATGAAAATCTGTTCGGAATCTATCAGACGTTGCAATTGTTGTCGGCCTTCTGTTCATGATCAAGACCGGCTCAAACCTGACCACGCCCGCGATGGCTCCACACAGATTCTCTGGAGAGAGAGGCAGACGCTTCTCTGTAAACTTCCCGGCAATCAATACTCTTGTACTGTTCTTCGTACCCCGCCTCGTGCTGCCCTTCTGTTTTCCCCGTGGCTTACGTCCTTTGGCAACGAGGTGGAGACCAAAGCTTTTGCTCTTCTGCCCTCCCAGCAAGCAGAGGTAAGGCACTCACAGAGCCCTGGGCGAGGGTTTGGTGTTGGAAAGCGTCTGGGTCTCTGGCCTCCGGAGTCCTGTGGGGTCAGAGGCGCTGGAGGACCTCAGACCTGGCTTCCAGCCCCAGTCCAATGGCTACCCTACCATGTGCTCCTGGGAAAGGTATTTTCTTTCTTTGGGACTCAGTTGCCTCATCTGTACAAGAGGCAGGAATCGATCAGTGGTATTCAGACCTACTCTTTCAATTTAAATTTTGGTTGAGTTTCGATGAGAATTTCAGTGCATGGAACAGACTAATGCAGAGCAATATTTGTAAATGGGAGACACAAAACCTCCTCCCCCTGCCTCTGGTGCTCATGTGACACAAGTCAGGGGCCCCGAACTCAGCTTCAAGGGCACCAGACCCCGGCGCTGATTCTGACAATCACAGTCTACACTAGCCTTCTAAAGGGGCTTCCTAGAGGTACATGTGATTGAAAAATGTGATTTGTTAATGACCAAGTTTCCATAGGCATGGGAGAAAACACTGGATTCTCTGATGATTTGCACCAAATCTCCGTGGAAAGCCATGAAACTCTGAAATGATTTGAGGCTTTAAGAGCAGAGCAAAAACAAAACAAAGCAAAACCAAGAGCCAGCCTTGGAAGAAATGGGTTTTAATTCTGGGCCTGGGTTACTGAGTTTGGTACGACTCAGGACCAAATAAGCTCATCCTTCCCTCTTTGGAAAGACTTGTAAGTACCCCTGGAATAAGTGTGCTCTAACAGCATGCATTGCAGTTTGTGAAAAATGTATTCATTGAGAGCATGTCCTGAGCACCCGTCTCTGCTTCTACCACCGTGGGTGCAAGTGGACAAGACACGTAAGATGTCAGCTGGCCCAGAGCTCGCATCCAGGTAGAGAGAAGGCAATAAACAAGGCAACACCACTGTGGACATGGTCCCTTAGCACCGGAGGAGAAAGCTCTTTTAAACAAAGGGGGCAGGAAAGGTCTATCTGCAGAGGTCAAACTGGAGCTGACACTGGAATAAAAAGAAATCCATATTTCAAAAAATAATAAATTGGTAGAGGAGCTCTCTAGAAGGGGAGGATGATAAGCAATCTGCGAATTAGCACATGCTGGCATTTTACAGCAGAGAATGGAAGAGGGGGAGGGGGCCCAGTAGGCAGACAATGGCCCGGTCAGGTGGGTCATGGGAAGGAGTGAGATTTAACTCTGAGTGTAATGAATGCATATCTATCTATCTATCCATCCATCCATCCACCCATCCATCCATTTATCTCTCTCTCTCTCTGTGTGTTTAAATAAGGGACAGCAGGCACAGTCACTGTTTCCAGAGTGGCCCTTGCCCCTGCGTGGAGGGGAGTGGGTTACGGGGGGATGTGTGTGGGGGAAGCAGGACCTGCCAGGAGCCAATCAGCCACCTACCAGCACAGGCAGGTGCTAAATCATGCTGTGAAGGCTCTTGGGAAGGTGACCTCCCTTGTTGGTATCGCATGAAAAAACGATGGACGTAGAATATTAGAACCAGAAGGAATTTGAGAATCACACGTGCAAACCGAAGTCGGAGCAGGGAAGCAACGGCAGAGAGAACGGTGTGTCCTGCCTCCTGCGGCAACGGCTTCTTGGTCCTGTGGCCTCACCCGCTCGGACCTTGCTTTGCTTCTGTAAGAAACACGGACGCGTGCTGGTGCTAAAGGCAGGCTGCCTGTGAGGAGACTCAGGGGGAGACCCAGGAGAAGGATGCAGGGGGAGACCCAGGTGAAGAAGACGCAGGTGGAGACCCAGGTGAAGAAGACGCAGGTGGAGACCCAGGTGAAGAAGACGCAGGTGGAGACCCAGGTGAAGGAGACGCAGGTGGAGACGGAGGGGGCTCCACAGGATTACCTGTGTTCTGCCGCCGTGATTCCCAGGTCAGCACAGAGCGGCAGCCCCTGTGAGGGTGACCGGCTCTCAGAGCCAGGAGTCACAGAGAACGTACTATTTGGAAAACAGTCACACCCTCATTGGACGAACCAAGGGCTATGACCAGATGGCAGCAGGCTAGACGGCTTCCGTTCCTCTACGTGGCAGCAGGAGCAGAGGCTGGTCCTCAGTGGTTGGTATCAAAATTTCCAGTGTAAAAAATTATAGGGGCGCCTGGGTGACTCAGTTAAGCGGCTGACTCTTGATTTTGGTTCAGGCCATGATCTCATGATTGTGAGTTCGAGCCCCACCTTGGGCTCTGTGCTGACAGCTCAGAGCCTGCTTTGGGATTCTCTCTCCCTCTCTGCCCCTCCCCCCCACAAATAAAAAAATAAATATAAAAAGTGGAGGAATGTTGTTCTGAACGGGGAGGGGAGAAACAAAGTGTGAGGTAGACAGGTGGAAAGGTGACTTGTCTCTGACACTTACTGCACCCCCAGAAGGCGGAAGTGGCCCAGTAGGGACAAGATCCCAGGGCCTGGGACAGAGCGTGGCACATGGATTAGACTGAACTGGATTGAACCCCTTTCTGCAGGGCTGTGGCTCCTAGAAATGTGCCACTGAACCCCTTTGGGCAGTCCATCTGGGTGAGGCTGGAAATTCAGGTTCCCTTTCTCATCCTGGAAACCTTGAGTCTAATAAGTCAGCCCACTGTCGAATTATACCTTTAATCCTTACCGATATTGCTGTGATAAAAGATGTAGTGCTTTTCAGTCTTATGTGTGTTACAGGTTGTCTGACTAGGACCTTCTAGTATTTTCCAAGTGTCTTCCCAGAGCGCTGCATGCCGTCTGTTTAGGGAAAATGAGGGAGCTGGGCAACACATATGGTTAGTGTTAAGAAGTTAATTTTGTTTAATGTCTTTATTGCAGAAGCTCCATCATAGCGTGGCAGGCAGAAGCATTCAGGGGTAATCTGGGTCCGAGGAACAGATCAGCGTTTTCCGGCGTAGTCCGTGGAAAATAAGAAGGAAGCTAAGGCAGAGCCTTGAGGATCCTTTGAGACTTGATAATTTTTCAATTAAGTGAAATTTATGACCAGCTTTAAACTTCATTAAGAATTTTGTTTGTTTCACAGAACCTAAAAAGAGTGTATTTGTCAGCCCTAGGCTGCTAAAATACAGCAAACTTTTAAAAAATCCAATATTGGCAAGGATATTATGAAAACAGTAAAACTTGTCATGTATGGCAAGATGAACTCTCAAGGGTTTTGGAAAATAGTTGGTTAATATTTAGCAAGAGCCGGGGCACCTGGAGGGCTCAGCGGTTGAGTGTCTAACTCTTGATTTTAACTCAGGTCATGATCACATGGTTTGTGAGTTCAAGCCCCGCACTGAGCCCTATGCTGTCAGTGAGAAGCCTGCTTGGGATTCTCTCTCTCCCTCTCTCTCTGTCCCTTCCCCGCTCACACACTCTTTTTTCTCTCTCAAAATAAATAAATAAACTATAGGGAAAAAATACCTATCAAGAACCAAAAACAAGTTTTATTTTTTTCTACCATAATTATAGTTCTGGCATTTATCCTAGGAAAGGAATTTTAAAAGGTAGAAAAAGCAACATGTGCAAAGATATTCTTTGCAGGATTGTTAATAATAATGAAAAATTACAGACAATTTAAATATTCACCAGGAGACAAATAACTAATTAGGTTAATGTACTTATCTGTCACGGGAAACAATATGTGTAAAAAGTTCATAGCAACACAGGAAAATCCTTGTGTTATGGGTTTAAGAGAAAATAGAAGCAAGACAACAATGTTTGCATATTGTGATCACTCTGTGTGAAAATTATAGATCCAGGGACCGAAATGTGAGATTTTTAAAAAGATACTATATAAGAGGAAAATTTTTTTCCTTGTCTTCTAAACATTCATGGAAACGATTGCAATTTCTCTCTAAACAGATCATTTCAATGATATACTAAAGTTTAGCTTTAAGGGGCTGCATGGGAAAAATAACAAACAGGAAACCTAGCACTGAGTTATAAAATAAGCATCGGGATAGATCTATAGCGATTCCATTACAAGACACGCCGTAAATAAAATGCACACGTGTGGGCGTATGGGCGAGAGTAAGTAGGAAAGATGCTAGATCATTCTCTCAAGGGAAGATATCCTTTCTGGGATCAGTTAGGCTTACCCAGGGTCATGTACAAATGGCAAGTGATGGTCAGGGACCGAAGTCAAGTTCTGGAACATGCAGACCCCCAGGCCCCCGCATCGCTCTACCACTGTGGCTGCACACAGCCTGTGTGTGATGGCAAGCACTGTGTCATGTGCCTTCCTGGCCCCAAGGCCACAGGAAGGGGTGGGACCGCCCGTGCGTATGCGCTCTCACCTCTGCACCCGCCGCCTGGTAGCCTCGGGTCCTGGTCAGCCTCCCTTCGAACTTCAGCACAATCTCCTTCGCTCGCCTGAGAGAAGAGAAACGTGACAGTGAGCACAGTTTTAGCACAGCTGGAATGTTGGCAAAATGTGTGAACCTGTGACAGCAACAGGTGACAAACGTGAGGAACAAGGCGCCGTGGCAAGGAGCCGGCTCTGAGAATGTGCAAACCGTTCATTTCCTGACCTCCAGCAGCCAGAAGGCTCCCTTAACAAATATTTTCTGGAAACATTACAAATCAAAACCACACTGAGATACCATCTCACGCCGGTCAGAGTGGCTACAATGAGCAAATCAGAGAACTCTAGATGCTGGCGAGGATGTGGAGAAAAGGGCACCCTCTCCTACACTGCTGGTGGGAATGTAAGCTGGTGCAACCCCTCTGGAAAACAGTGTGGAGGTTCCTCAAAACATTAACAACAGAACTCCCCTAAGACCCAGCAATAGCACTGCTAGGAATTTACCCAAGGGACACAGGAGCGCTGATGCATAGGGGCACGTGGACCCCAATGTTCACAGCAGCACTCTCCACAATAGCCAAATCATGGAAAGAGCCTAAGTGTCCATCAACGGACGAATGGATTAAGATGTGGCTTATCTATACCATGGACTACTACATGGCAATGAGAAAGAATGAAATCTGGCCATGTGTAGCAACATGGATGGACCTTGAGGGTGTTATGCTGAGCGAAATAAGTCAGGCAGAGAAGGACAAATATCATTTGTTTGCACGTATAGGAGGATTAGGAGGAACTTAAGGGAGGACCATGGGGGAGAAGAAGGGGGGAAATGGTGGGGGAGAGGGAGGGAGGCAAACCATGAGAGACTCTTGAATGCTGAGAACTGAGGGCAGATGGGGGTGGGGAAGAAGGGGAAGGGGGTGACGGGCATGGAGGAGGGCACTTGTGGGGATGAGCACTGGGTGTTCTATGGAAACCAACTTGACAATAAACTATTAAAAAAGTAAAATAAAATAAAAATTTAAAAATTTAAAAAAACAAATATTTTCTGGAAAAAGAAAACAACATTTAAAAGGATAAATTCACAGAAAATGATGCATTAACACCCACACGAGTTGCAACTGAATTTCTTTTTTTTAACCATTAAAAAAAATTATTTTGAGAGAGAGAGAGTGCATGAGCAGGGGAGGAGCAGAGAGAGAGAGGGAGAGAGAGAATCTCAAGCAGGCTCCCCACTGTCAGTTCAGAGCCCGACATAGGGCTCGAACTCAGGAACCGCAAATGGTGACCGAAGCCAAAATCATGAGTCGGACACTCAACAGGCTGAACCCCCAGATGCCCAGCAGCTGAGTTTCTTACAGCCCTTCCCTGATTCCAGTTGTCGGCTGGGAGTCCGGGGGGTCGGAAGTCCTGGGAGCGGCACTGACCTCTCGGCCCCTGCACTTGACCTCTCTGGAACTGCAGGTCAGACCTAGCTGCGATAAAAGGGTGGTGTCTGGTGAGCACTGCGTCTCCGCAGCCACAAACTAACTACAGACACACCCCGACCGGTTTGGGGGTCTCCACCTACACCATTAATCCTGGAGGTGGACTGAGTACCCTGGGATGATGGTCAAGTCCACACCTAAATGAACAGCAGGATTAGACAATCCACGCTGGCACTACCGGGGCAGACAGGAGTCAAGGGCTCTTGGAGATGAGGGTCACCTTCAAGGCCACCTCATCTGACATTGGCTGATGAGACCCTCATTATGGTCAGGCCCCTCCCCTTGATTGTGCTCGGTGCCCAGAGTCCCCCGATCGTTAGTCTGCCCGCTCGCTGTTGGGGCGTCTTGCATGTGCCTCTCGATAGCCTCGGAGCGGCGCCCCCTGGCCCTGAGCCCCTCCCTGAGGCACACCAGGACCTAGCTGACTCCCTTTTCCACTGAGCGGACGTGACCTAATCGCAGCATTTGCTGGGTTTCAGAGCTCCGTGCCGTCATTCTGATCACCCCAGCATCCCGGCCCCGCTAGCCCATGCCCTGGCTTCATTCCGGTCGGAACCAGAAATGCAGGCAAGGGTGAGGGGTCATGCCCTACCCTGGAGAGCATCTAAAAGATGCCTGTACAAGTGACATGATTGATTTCATTTAATTACTTTTTGTTTTCTTCCTGCAGACATTTTCTGCACGCTTCCTTCGGTCAAGCAGAGTGGGACCCACAGCACATGCTACAGAGTTGGCCTGGAAGGCGCCCTCTCTCTCATCGCCTGCGAGAGCCCTAAAGCCACAGTAACGGAGGGTGGGGGGCATGCACTCAAGAACCCAAGCTGGCCTGGGCCTCGTTGGGGCCCTGACCACCGGCTTCCCCGTGAGGGAAACAGACCCGTGCTCTGTCCGCCCCGAGAGGATGCTGTTGCTGCAGACCCAGCCGGGGCTCCCTGCTCTTCTCCGGGTCCGCCTCGCTCCCTGGGCCCCCCCGCCGTCAGGCTCCAGTGGCCTCTGTGCTTTCTAGACGCCTCGGCGGGTCCAATTAGTGAGGCGTTCATTGCTCTGGTAGCTTCTCAAGGTGACGAGGGAGGAGATGTGCGGGACCGGGGATGATCAGTGGGGGTGCTCAGGGGACCGGCTCGTCTGCAAGCCTGACCGCCCGCCCAGGCAGCGCCGTGTGACCCCGTAGGGCCCTACTGGGTGGCTGGCCACGCATCAAGGCAGAGGGCCTGGATTCTGCCCTTTGGTTCAGGAAGTGTATTGACAGAAAAGTTATCATTTGCTGCACTCTGGCCGAAGGTAAAAATGGCTTAGGCTCTAGGTAATAATTAATGATCATTAATTCCTAATTAGTGATTACTACTTACTCCTACTAACCATCAATCATCAATCCTTAACAGCATTTCTGTCCGATTTTTAAAAATTCTGATACACATTTCTCTCTCTGCCTGTCTCCACTCACTCTCTCAAAATAAATAAATAAACTTAAAAAGGGGGGTAAGGGGTGCCTGGGTGACTCAGTTCGTTGTGTCCAATTCTTGATTTCAGGTCAGGTTGTGATTTCACAGTTTCTGAATTTGAGCCCCACCTCAGGTTCTGTGCTGATAGTATGGAGCCTGCTTGGGATTCTCTCTCCTCTGCATACCCCCTCCACCCCCCGACTCACTCACTCTTTCTCTCTCTCTCTCTGTCTCAAAATAAAAGAATAAATAAACTCAAAAGGTTGTGATACAACACATGACTTTTTCTTTTACCTTCCTTCCTTTCTTCCCTCTCTCTTTCTCTCCCTCCCTTCCTTCCTCCCTTCCTTCCTTCCTTCCCTCCTTCCTTCCTTCCTTCCTTCCTTCCTTCCTTCCTTCCTTCCTTCCTTTTTCTTTCTTTCTTTCTTTCTTCCTTTCTTTCTTTCTTTCTTTCTTTCTTTCTTTCTTTCTTTCTTTCTTTCTTTCTTTCTACTTTTGGATAAATCACTCCAATGACTCCTTTGGAAGAGTTGCTATGTCTCAGTAGAACATTGGAACTGGGGTCAGAGAGCCTGGGTTTAAAGCTCAGTTCCGACCCTCAGAAGCTGTGTGTCCCAAGGTAAGTACTTGACATCTCTGAGTGTCAGTCTTCTATCTGAAAATGCCATCCTCACTCAAAGAAGCAGAAGTGGTGAGAGCATAACAGACTAGAGGATTAACCAGAAACCACTGAGACTGGAAACCGAAGGAGACCTTGGCCACCTGCCTCAGCCCCCCGACGGCCAGCTGCATCTTGGGCCAGACGGGAAGAACGTGCCTGTGGTGAAATCTAGCAACGGCATGATGTGACGGGAGAGAAATGCAAAGCCTAATAGTGGTAGACGCGGGGAGGAAGGGCTCTGTGCTTGGCATCTGGAAAGGGGCACAGAGAAGTTTCTAATCCTGTCCACGCAGGGTCCCTGCTGATCAGGGCTACTGTCTGTTTCAGGGAAGGTCCACTTGACAGGTCCGGGGCGCTCATTAAGGCCATTCAATTAACCCCCTCTGCTGTGTTCCCGATATCAGCATCATCCATCAGTCCTCACTGGCCAGGCGTGACCGCCAGGGGCCAGAGATGTTACGAATCGCTCACACGGTTGACCTTGTTTAACCCTGTAACAGCGATGAGCGGATGTCAAGCTTCAGTATATGAAGGAAGCTGCCCGAATGCGTGTTAGAAATCCTGAGCCCCTCCCACTGTGGTCGGGTCCCCTGCTTGAGGAAAAAATAACTTCCAGGCACCCTGGCTATCTGCGTCCTTGACAATACCCCCCACGACCTTGTAACATGAGGCCACTTAATCAGACGGCAGGTTTGCGTGTTACCATGCATGGGAGACACACAAGTAGAAAATATATAAAAAACCACACCACATGGCGTTTGGGACTCAGTTTTTCGGGTGCGAACCCAACTGAGCAGTGCCGGCAAGAGTAAAATTGCTTCCTGGAAAGAAAAGCCCTGGTGTCACGACTCTGTGCGAGAATCCGGCTCCACCGTAATTTCTGGCTCAACAGGCCTACAGGCAACCAGGGGTTGTGAATCCTTCACAAACACCTTGCTTGCTTAGTGGTGCACAGTTTTTGGAAGCAAGAGGCAGGCACTATTCTCCACCATCATGTCAACTTGAACGAAAGGACAGCGATAGAGAAATTAAGAGAAGTACGCGGTATCGCACGGCTGACGGTCGGTGGGGGTGGTATTCGGATTCGGGCAAAGCGTCCTCAACTCCTTAGCTGTTCATTATGATCTAAACAGACTCTTTGATGGAACTCTGAGTATCATAGTATCTGGTTCCCCCAGTGGGAGTGACGACCAAGCAGGTGAAATTAATGTCTATTTTCATTCCTGCTTATAGACTTGTCTCCGCCAAGTCTGGCTATTTTTTTCACCTCTAGACACGATGCTAAGATCTAGCACTGGAAAGGGAGGTAGAGAACCACAAACTCTCCACCAGCACACATGTACACACACACACACACACACACACACACACACACACAGAAACTGGCCACCTGGAGGTGCCCGTGACTTCCCGGAGTCATATCTGGAACCTCGGACATCACTGTCGCGTGGGTCTGAGTGCTCATTCCCTTGGGCAGCCCCGGGCGGCTTCGTGGAAAACACACTCACGATAATCGGTAATGACAAGGGAACCCCTTACCTCAGAGCCCCCAGCTTCTGCCTCATGGTCCAGGGCCTGCAGCGGATATTTGCCATGAGATCCTTCTGGAACTGAATATTCTGGAAGATTTGTTCTGGATCATTGCTGTCCCCTGTTTCATCAGCATTAAAGCTGTCATCCAACTTGCTGAATGGATCAGGACATTAAGGAGGAAATCTGATTAGGAGAATTGCTTCCAGCAAAGATCTTGCCCGGGGCACGTCCAGCTTCTTGCTGACCCAGGGTCACCCGTATGAAGTTTCTACGTGTGGAGGGAGAGGGACCCAGGGGGGCAGCGAGAGAATGTGGCAATCTTGGCAGCCCCTGAAATTCATGCATTGGAGTCTGTGGCTTCGGTGGCTCAGTAAAAGAAAATGGTTTCTCAGCGTGAAATATATTATCAGAAGACATCACACCAAGAGACAGGAGGGCACTTATTCCTGAATAGAAGCATCTATTCGCATCTATTCCCGGATAGAAGCATCCTTGTCGGCAAAACAATTTCTATTTCAGGCTGATCGAAATAATCAGCTAATTTTAAAGGTGGGGCTCCTCCTTGTCCCTCAACTCTGGAGGTAAAATAAAGAAAAACCCAGCATTGTGATCAGAGACCTTCCCTGCGTTCCTGCCTCTGATCTTTAAAACTGAGAGGCGGGGCAGGCAACAATTTCTTGAACCAAGCATTTAGCCGAGCCGATTTACGTGGGCCAGTCTTTCAGGGAAATGGCGACTTTGGAGGAGAACAATTTTTCAACGTGTAGCAACATTGATTCCCGGTCACGGTTACGATGCTAAATCCGACGTGACTTTTCGGGAGGTGCTGTGAGTATCCTGCTATAGCTCTTTGATCAAAGATGCACTTAAAAGTAAAGAGAAAATAATTCCTTTGCTTTTCTCGAATTCAGATGGTTTTGACCCACTCATAGGAGAATTTTCTTCGATTTCTCCAACTGGTGGAGGTTTTACTATAACTTTATGAATATTTAACAAACTGATGGAGGTTTTAATATACGTTTAAATATTTAACAGATTCAAACGGCACTCCCCACTTCTCCCTGGCCCAAAGCCTCTCCCAACAGACACCTTATTTATTATGACGGATGTATTATCCGCTCTCTTTTGACACCGCAGATTGAGTAAACAGACAGAAAGCAGAGGACACGCGCCTGTGGGTTCAGCCAGGTCGGGGTACGTCAGGTTCGGGTGCCCCGCTCAATGAGCAGGTACAGTCACCCCCCTCTGGGCACAGCGTCGAAATCGCTGACCCGGTTGTACAGAAGCCCCGAGGAAGGAGTTTGTGATTTCATTCGGAAGGAGGGGGGGCGGAGGGGGGTGCCTGTCATCTGGCCGGGGCAGGCGAGGCTCAGGCGACCAGGGCTTCCCTTCCTCAGCGCACCTGCCTCCTCCTCCCTGCGGGCGGGGGCCCCACTCACCTGAGCAGCAGGGACTCCTGGTAAGGGCAGTGCTGGCCGGTGTTTCTCCGGCTGCTTCTGTAGCGCTGGGGCGCCCTGGGGGGCTGCATGGGGGCCGGCAGCGTCCCAGGGAGGTGGGGGGTCTGCTCCACGGAGGTCTCCGAACGGAGCCCCTCGCTGCCCTGCGTCCTGGCTCCCGGCAGCAGGACTGTGAGTGTGCAGCTGGCACTCGGCGGAGAGGCCAGCTGTGCGGGCGTGATGCGCCGATTGGCTGCGGTCTGGGCAGAGGGAGGGGGGAGGCTGGGCCAGGCTGAACCAGGGATGGCTAGGTGCCCCCCCGCCCGCAGTCCCATCTGTGACCCCTCGTGCCCACTGGGCTCGGCAGCTTGCCAAGCGCGTTAGCTCTGTTCCGGTGACTGGTGGTGACAAAATATTGAGGGAGAAGGCGAGGCATGGCTTAGTGCTTTTCGTTTTTACCTCTCAAGAAAGAGGCTTAGAGGGGCACCTGGGCGGCTCAGTCGGTTGAGCATCCGACTTCGGCTCAGGTCGTGATCTCAGTTCGTGAGTTCGAGCCCCACGTCGGGCTCCAGCTCAGGGCCTGGAGCCTGCTTCCGATTCTGCATCTCCCTCTCTCTCTGCCCCTCCTCGGCTCACTCTCGGTCTCTCTCTTTCAAAAATAAATAAACATTAAAAAAAAAGAAAGAAAGAAAGAGGCTTAGAGTGAGAAGCTCACCTGTGTTCACACAAAAGCGTCCAGGAGAGACAATGCTAACATCTTATTTGTTTTTTATATTTTTCTCCACTTTGAGGAGAGTGAGATCTACAGAAATGTTGAGAGAAGAGCAGCATGGATCTTGCGAGCCCCCATCCTGGATTCGCTAGTTGCTGACATTTGCTTTCTTTCTATCTACATACTTTCCCCCCAACACCATCTACAAGTGCATTTCAGAAATAATGACACTTTGCCCAGAAATGTTTCAGTGTGATATTAATAATCATCCAATTAACATTCTCACATTTTACGTTTCCTACGTGCAGCCACATTAATCAGCATGATAATGCTGCGGTGGAGAGAAATCCAGAGGCTCCCCAGAGCTTCATAATAAGAAAGTAGGAATTGGAGAGACCGCCCGGATGGCTCAACTGGTTAAGCGTCCGACGTCGGCTCAGGTCATGATCTCACGGTTCATGAGTTCAAGCCCCGCGTCGGGCTCTGTGCCGACAGCTCAGAGCCTGGAGCCTGTTAAGGATTCTGTGTCTCCCCCTTTCTCCGACCCTCCCCTGCTCATGCTCTGTCTCTCTCTCTCTCTCTCTCTCAAAAATAAATAAACATTAAAAATAAATTAAAAAAAGAAAAAAGAAAAGAAAGAATTGGAGAGGTAGACGCTCACACAGATGCTCTGAACACATCACCTGCTGCTGTGAGGATGCTCCCTGGGGACACACTAGCTTCTGTCCCGTCTCCCGAGGCAGCGGTCAGTCAGCAGCTCCCTGGTCACCCGCAGGCTCCCCTTTCTAGCTGTTCGCTAGGATTTGCCACCAAAGGATGTCTCCCTGCATCCAGGGCTTTCCCCCGTGTCATGATATCAACCTCTATTTTCTAACTGACACACAGAATGGTTTGCGGCTTGTGCTCGCTGGCGGGGAGGGCAGGACAGACACAGAGAGGGTGCCTTCTGCTGAGCCCCCCGCCGGTGCGCTAGAGACTCAGCGGGCAGGTGGAGAAACGATCGGGGCGCGCACCCCACACGGGGCGGAGGGAAATCCGTCAGCAGCTCGGCGTGCGGGGCTTAGACGAGGGGCTTCCTTCCCTCCTTCATTCCTCCGTTGAGTCATTAGCACAGTAATTAGACAGCTCTTACTGCCTGCCCCAGGCTGGACGGGCAAAGGCAAGCCCGAGGCTGGCCCAGGGCCCGAGGGTCAGGGACTCTCAGGTGTTGGGACCCAGAGCTCAGGGCAGGTGAATAACCTGGTGAGGGAGCTGGACGTGTGTGTGTGTGTGTGTGTGTGTGTGAGACCAGATCGCTTTTCTGCTAATTTGCCTGAGGCCATGGGGCCTGATGCTCTGTCTAAACACTACGTAAAATCTGTGTTTGCCAAATGGACAAAATAGTGCATATAATAATATGATTATTTCTTGGGGCGCCTGGTGGCTCGGTTGGTTAAGCGCCCGACTTCAGCTCAGGACATGATCTCATGGTTGGTGAGTTCAAGCCCCCAGTAGGGCTCTGGGCTGTCCACTTTCTCTGCCTCCCCAGCTTGTGCTGTCTCTCTTTCTCTCTCAAAAATAAGTAAATATTAAAATAAAAAGAGAGAGAAAGTAATGTATCATCATTTAAGAAATAGAAAGAGTAGAGAAATAAAAAATAAAAAAAATCTAGAGCAGGATTGCTTAGTGGTAAGAGTCAGCACTTCCAGCTTTTTACCAAGGGTCTATTTTTCTTTGTGTTTATATATTTTTTGATTTTACTGTATACATGTGTTTCTCAATGTTTCCATCACTTTTATACCTAAAGCAATTTCCATGTATTTTTCAATTTTTTTTGTGTGGACATGTTCCATCCCTATTTAGTGGAATATTCTATCTAGAGCATGAAATATTCAAAATTTGCCCCATTTCTCAGGCATCCATTTTGTTCCTCCAGGTGCATTTTTTGCTCTCGATGATTTTTGGGTTTTTGCATCACTTCTTTAGAATTAGTTCTCAAGTGGTGTCTGGGGGCTTAGTCAGTTAAACTGCTGACTCTTGATTTCAGCTCAGGTCATGATCTCACAGTTTGTGAGTTCGAGCCCCGTGTCAGGCTCTGTGCTGACACTGTGGAGCCTGCTTGGGATTCTCTCTCTCCCTCTCTCTCTGCCCGCCCCCACCCCCCACCTGGGATCTCTCTCTCATAAATAAATAAATAAATAAATAAATAAATAAATAAACATAAAAAAGAATTAGTTTTCCAGAAGCGAAATGACTGGATTAAAGGGAATATCCTTAAAAAAATTCAGTTACATTTTTTTGTGTTTTTTAAAACATTTTTTAATGTTTGTTTGTTTATTTATTTATTTTGAGAGAGAGAGACAGAGCATGACCCAGAGAGGGTCAGGGAGAGAGGGAGACACAGAATCCGAAGCAGCTCCAGGCTCTGAGCTGTCAGCACAGAGCCCAAAGCCAGGTTCGAACCCATGAACCGTGAGATCTGACCTGAGCTGAAGTCGGACGCTTAACCGACTGAGCCACCCAGGCATTGGCATCCCTAATGTTTTTTTTTGTTTGTTTTTGTTTGTTTGTTTGTTTGTTTTTGGTAAAATGTTTTTAATGCGGTCATCTTTGCCTGTGGTCTCTTTATGGTTTCCTTGGTGTGATTTTAAAAATTCCCCTTGAAGCCACCTGGCGTCATTGTGGCAATGAGTCCCAGGTGAGGCTGTCAGTGCTGCTCCTTGTGCCCGGTGCTCGGGACCCACATTCTCTTCCCCAAGCCCCGCCAGGCCCCCCGGCAGCAGAGGAAGCTCAGACAGGGGTGCTGCTGTCTGAACACGAGGGGATCAGTTACGCCCCACACGCTGCGCTTCCTCTGACACTTGGATCAGAGGCTTCAGGTGCTCTGGACGATGTCACATTAGGCCAGCACCAGCATGTGTCTACAGACAACACGGCTAACCGTCCCCGAGATGCCCACAATTGGAGCACTTAAAATATCAGAAAGGATCCTATGTCAGAATGAGCTAAAACTGTTATTTCTAGACCAAATGCTTCCAGGATCTGGGTGATGGGGGAAGGGAGGTAATGAAGGGGAAGGAACAGACATAGTAATAGAAGATCTATTTGTTGAGCAGACAAATCTCTTTCATCAAATAATAATAATAATATTTTGTTACACATCCCAGGAGGTCTGAGCAGAAGTCATCAGATGATTCGGCTTACAGGAACAAAACACTCATAACCTGTGTCATCGATTAAACAATTTTCCCCCTGCTTAGTGGATTCTACTCTGAGACATTCACACCCCGAAGCCCATCTCAGGGGGTAACACAGGGGAGTGCCCGCGGCAATGCCAGCCCCCCTTCTTGAAGGCATCAAGTTTTTACCTTTGCATTTTACAAGAGGGACTTTTTCCAGTTTTGAGACATATTTTCATGCCCGTGATGTTGTTTTCGGGACTCAAAAGCCTTTTGAGTGAAGTCTAGAAATACCTTTTGGGTCTGGGAAATGGCATTCAGGGTCGATGCTCAGGGGAAGATGGCTTCTGGTGTTCTGAGTAACGGCTGAGTCTGGTGAAACATGTGGGCGCGTGTGCTTGGTGGTGGTGAGGTCCTCATGAAATCATCAGCTGCAAGTAAGTCTGAAGCTGAACAGACACCCTGAGATTTCCACCGGGGCTCACATGACACACTGGCTCATCTGCAGTGGTTCCTGCAGCGAGCGAAGGGGACTGTCACCAGCTCATGGGACCCCGTCAGAGGGGGAGGCTATCACCCGATGGGATGCCGTTGAGACACAAATTACGGAGCCGCCCTGTGCTGCCAGGCAAGGACAGAAATGCATTTTTGCGCAGGATTGCATCTAAATGCGTACGTCGTCCTTGGGAATAAAAAAGGAAATCAAACGTTCTCCGTAACTGGGATACATCCCTTGTCAAGCAACCACTTAAAAGTTGGCTGCGTCTCTCCTCTAACGAGTTTTAGATTGTATTTACCTGCATATTAGGGGAATTGGAGAAAGCCCAGCAGAGCTGGGAAGGGCAGCCTCCTGGGAGCCCTCCCCTCCACACCCCTGCAGAGACTGTGCATCAGCCAGCGGACGGAAGGCCCAGGAGCTTCTGGGGATGGGCTGAGCGAACAGAGCAGAGCAGCTTTGGGCCAGAGTATCTTCTGGTAAGAAGACTTACAGCCCAACCCCGAGGTTTAGCGTGTTCCTGCTTCAGTCTACGTGTGATCTTTTAAAATCCTCTTAAAGAAAGTGATCTTCATTTTCCCCCTTCAATTTCACGGACATCCCTTTTCATCTTGTTCTGACATATTATTGCTTGCTTTATAATGACCTTTAAAAATCCTCTTCCTGAAAGTGTAAAGCACTTCCTCCCTTAACATTTCCTTGCCTTTCCCCAAACCAGACTTAAAA